GGCTTGCGGAGGCTGCCTCCCAGACTTCGTTCAGAGACATGAGGATAAATTGATTAGACTTCAAATCGAGCAAATATCAATTATCAGACAGCTTATACAGCAACTGATGTCTCTAATGGAAAGAACAACTAGTCTACATTACTCCGCCATCGCAGAGCTTCTTGATAGAGGCAACGCGTCAAGCTAAGTAACTTATGGTCGATCTGGCCCAATCATCTCGGATCAACATACTTCCGATCCTCTCTCCATCCCCGCCTATAACGCGGAGACCGCAATTCGGCGCCGCTTTGGGTACAGGGCGTTGAAGAAGACAGTTTATACCAGAAATCTGGAGCACAATATGCCGGCACTTACATCAGAGAGTGAGTCCGCGAGCCGGGACTGTTGGTTTTGTGGTTTTCAGACTTGATTGACCATAGATACAGGTTCCAAGCGGAAAGCTTCGGAAGATGCGGCTTCCCCGGATTCCCAGAAACAGATTAAAAAGGCGCGCACTGACTCTCCTGAAAAAGAGCCAAAGGTTTGTCTCTACTATGAACTCATTTCGGTTGCTCTTCTGACAGTGTTTGCTTGCAGACCGAAGATGAACCCCTTGGAAAGCCACCGCTGAGGATCGTTCCCTTCCCAGAAAAGGTAAGCTTCACCAGTGAATGTTGATTCGACGCGGCGGCTGATGTTCATTCCCCACAATAGCCCGCCGTCTTAGAAGAACGACGAGGTGAAATCGAGTTTCGAGTGGTCAATAACGATGGTTCGCGGGATAGCTTCGTCGTTCTCACCGGGTTGAAGTGCATTTTTCAGAAGCAGCTTCCAAAGATGCCCAAGGATTATATCGCACGACTTGTCTACGATCGTTCGCATTTGTCAATTGCCATTGTGAAGCATCCATTAGAGGTTGTAGGGTATGTATGGGAGAGATGGTTTGGTTAGTTTCTTGAAGAGCTCATCAATTGTTGTCTAGAGGAATCACCTACCGGCCGTTCAATAGCCGCAAATTCGCGGAAATCGTCTTCTGTGCCATATCTTCCGATCAGCAAGTCAAGGGTTACGGTGCGCATTTGATGTCTCATTTGAAGGTATGGCTAGGAATTAAAGCTGCAGCAGGAGTGGTAGCTAACTGTAAGAGCAGGACTATGTGAAAGCGACCTCGCCTATTATGCATTTCCTGACTTATGCGGACAACTATGCGATTGGTTATTTCAAGAAGCAGGGATTCACCAAGGAAATCACGCTCGACAAGTCTATATGGATGGGTTATATCAAGGATTACGAGGGAGGAACCATCATGCAATGTACCATGCTCCCCAAGATCCGATACTTGGAAGCAGGTCGCATGCTTCTGAAGCAGAAGGAAGCGGTGCAAGCCAAAATCAGGGCTTTCAGTCGTTCGCATATTATCCATCCTCCGCCAAGGGAATGGAAGAACGGAGCTTGCAAGATCGATCCTCTGAGTATCCCCGCCATTAAGGAATCCGGATGGTCACCGGATATGGATGAATTGGCGCGGCAACCGCGCCATGGGCCGAACTACAATCAACTCCTGCACTTGCTCAACGACATGCAGAACCACAGTGCTGCATGGCCGTTCACTCAGCCTGTCAACCGCGATGAGGTTCCTGATTACTACGAAGTCATCAAAGAGCCAATGGACTTATCGACGATGGAAGAGAAGCATGAGAAGGACATGTACCCGACCCCGCAGGATTTCATCAAAGATGCCATGTTGATCTTTGACAATTGCCGCAAATACAACAATGAGAACACACCATATGCGAAAAGCGCGAATAAATTGGAGAAGTTTATGTGGCAGCAGATTCGCAACATCCCGGAGTGGTCGGTAAGTATCTCTCTTAGATAGCCCTCCCTAGAGGGAAGAGCAACTCGTGCTGACTTTGTCATAGCATCTGGCCGATGGGCACTGAGTTATTTGATGGTTGATCCATCCTTTCCCGATCTTGAAGCGACGGAGTTTTGGTTTGGTTGGCGTTTATTTCTGCTATTTAACGAACAAATACCCAATTGATGCATGGGGGAGCATTTGGCCATTTCTATTGAGAATTCGATGACTGAACTAATGATATGGCAATATCACAAACATCACTTCGTACATTCCTCATTTTCTACCAGGGAAACGGATGCTGTAAGCTTTATTCGAAGGCACCCCGAGAACTTAAAAAAAAAAAAAGGCTGGATAACAGTCCAATCCCGCAAGGGAGCTTAGAATTCAGCGGACTGCTGCATTGAGAAGAGATATGATCTATCACAACATGTGAGTTTGTCGCTGCTCTTTGATTCTAGCCACCAGATGATTGTAACATCATAGTTCGTCCCTCCCTTGCGTGTAATCTCGGCCAGCAGTGGAGAACGTGGTGAAGCTGCTGATGATCATTAGCTGGTGGGTCCTTCATTTCGGAATAACTTTGCGGCGGGCCGTTTGTTGGCTGCGGATCATGAAGATGGCAGGTCAACAAGAGATGGACAATTAGTATTCTAGTATGAGAAAGTTGCTCTGCAGGTGGTCGGGGCAATCTACCGTCCTTCTTTTGCTGTTATAATAATAATAATTATTATTATTATAATATCGCAACGCGTGCCCTGTTCCTCTTGTCCTTATTGTCCGTTGTCGTTCCCAGTGGGCGGCGGCTGGAGGATTGTTACTTTAAGCCGTCTTTTCCCACTTCAGGCGGCCCTCTCCAGGGGCTCCTGAGCCTGAAAGTCCTAGACTCTCGAATCTCTGTCGTTCATTGCGCTGATGCCTTAATTTGGACTAAATTATCTCCGGTCATTCGTTAATATTCTAGTTCTTTGCGATCGTTCAATCGTGAGCTGGCCATTCTTATTCTTATTGAGACGTTGGTGGAACAGTAAACACGGGCCACTCCTATTCTTGGACCAACTCGATATCTTCCATCATTTCCGACTTTTTCGCTCTCGACCTCACGCCAATTTTCACTCGTTTGGATCATTTATTGAATTTGCCTTGTTGGTGGTCTATCGCTCTCGCTCACAATGGCTTCGCCATCACTTTTGGACTTGGAGCCGAGGAATCGGCTCCCCACTCTGTTTGAGGTCCTCAGTCGTCGCACTTTGGCTCCTGTCGATCTATTCTCTTTCTACATATACATGCGAGACCAACAGCGCTCGGTCGATTACTTGGATTTCTGGTATGCGCAAGATCTCTGCTTAAATACTGCGGCGCATGAACCACGGGAAAGTGCTGACTTCGAAGTGAAATAGGCTCGATGTATCACAACATATGTCGCTATGTCGCCATTATGTGCGCGAACTTCGTCGGTCTGTCTTAGTTGCGACGCCTGATCTTGAAAAAGCAGATAGTAAAGGCTCATCTGCCGCTTTGGATAACTTGGAACATCTTGGCGATATCCCGCTTACAGAAGCTGGCCCCTCTGGCTTGCGCCGGGGCTTTCGTGATTACGACGACAAGGACGCCGATCAAAGGCTGTCAGCCTTCCTTCGCTCAGATGGCCACACATCCCAGCATTCACCACAGAGTAGCCTCGGGTCACAGAACGCTGCTCGCCTTCCTTCCAATGAACAACCGCCTCGTCCAAGCTCCGGAACACAGAACGAATCGAATTCCCCTGGCCATACAGTCACGCGACACGATATTCGCGCGTCTGCAGAGAAGATTCTCTACACGTATTTACTACCCGGTGCTGAAAGAGAGATCGTTCTTCCGGAGGAAATGGTATCAACGATAATCAATCTCATTGAGGATGACGGGAGGGACGATCCAGAAGTGTTTGACCCCGCCAAAGACTATGTCTTCCAAGCAATGGAACGCGACGCATACCCCGGGTTTTTGCAGGCAAAAGCCTTGGGTAATCTTGTGCCGTTGACCGTTGTCACTCGCTTGGCTTTGGCTTTGGTTAGCTTTGGCGGTGGTTTCTGGGGCGCCTTCTACGTTGTCCTTCGAGACAAGCCGCGGCATATTCGTTGCTGGGTAAGACCTCTTTTCATGTTCCTTGCACACTTTTGCTAATGACGGACCAGGTGATTTTGCCTTTCATTGTAGCTGCATATTTCATCGCTTCGTACCAGTACAAGATCGACCCGGTAATGGCATATTTGGGGTACAGTGAATACACGTTCATGAACTGGGCTCCAATCCGCGAGCCTTATGTTCGTAAGCTCCTGAATAAACGAGCCACTGCAACGTTATTCATTGCCCTACTGGTCGCTGCCGCACTGAGCATTCTGTTCATTTTTGTCCCCGGTACTATGCTGTGATTTGGCCATTTTCAGGCTGTTAAGCATATGTTTGCTCCATCAGGCCTCACTTCGGACGCTCCTCTGATCCATTGAATAATCCTCGCGACTATGATTATGTCATGCGAGCCCAGCTGTCCTACGCGGGACCGACACCGCAGTGCAGGCCTTCTTTTCGGCCTGGCAATGCAGCTGGTGCATAGGCTAGCCACTCGGTTGTTCTCGAAACCGACACTTTAGGCTATTCTCATCCAAGTTGCGCTCCGTGGAGCCCTTCCCCAGGCTTGGAACGATTCGAGCAAAACGCGGTACATCCTTCTTCTGGCTGATGCTGCGTCATTCGGCTCAAGGCCACGCCGTACCGATCCCTCCAGCCACAACAGACTTTCCTTGTCGCTTCGTCTTGTGAATGTTTCCTTCTTGATTGCTTCTTCACCTCTTCATCTTCTTACAATACCCATTTCTGCCTCTTCTGCATGATGTTCAATTTCAATGACTGCCGGTGGAACTTTCTTTGGTGTTCAGGCATTGGTCCGCTAATCTGCTATAATAATGCAATCTTAATGGCAAATAACCTTGATCGAATGCTGATATTGCATGTCGTAAGTAGTCCTAGCATGATGGCTCTATGCAGAAGAGTAAACCATCCGGAAGAAGATACATCATGAGCTCGTAATGACCATTACAGGTCCACTGTTAACCTTGCTTTTTTTTTTTTTTTTTTTTTTTTTTTTTTCCATCTCCTTTAGCCAGTGACTATGGCTGCTACATTAGGACTTCTTTCCCAGGATGCGCTTCGCATGCCTCGCGCCAGCCCCGCTCAACCCGAATCTAGACGATCCCGCACTTTCATCAATGTCCATACGCGAACCAGCCGCGTGTAAATCGATACCGCCATCGTTGCCATTATCCCAGTACCCGTCATCCTCATCATCGTAGTCATCAGCGTTGAACTCGCGCTTATTGCCACCTCCCTGGCCAAACCGCTGCGCTCCGCCGAGCCTTCTGGACCCGGGCCCGCCTCCCGCCGCGTCCTTCGCGCTCCCATCAGCGGAGGCCAGCGCTTTTTCAAGCAGAGCAGCCCGCGCCTGTTCTTTCGCCCTACGCTTCGCGGCATTGCTCTTGATCTTGGCGATCTCGGCTTCGATGTCGCTGATGACATCGCCGCAGCGGCTCTCCCACTGTGTCAGGAGGGAGATCATCGTCGGCAGGGACTGGGGTTTGATGTCGCGAAGGGGCGCGACGGACGTCACGTTTACGAAGGGAGGGTTGGAGGCGGGGAGAGGCGGGCGGTGATGAGGGAGGAGTAGATGGCTTTTGTGACGAGGGATTCCAGCTCAGCGGGGGCTGAGATGGAGAGGGCGTCCATGAGGGTCTTGTAGGTGAGGGGCTTGAGTGTTGCGGAAAGCGTGAGGAGCGAGAGGAGGCGGAGCTTGAGGGCTTGTTCGGCACTGAGGCTGGGGAGGTTGGGTGTTGCTGGGTGGTGATGTTGTTAGTTACTATAGGCCGAATGGTTCAGCTTGAAAGGCTGGCGGGCTTACTCTGGTAGTCCTGCCATGTTCCCCAGGCGAAGATTTCCAGGAGGGTCAGGTACCCTTGGAACTCTTCTGGGGTGTTTGGGGAGCGGAGGGCTTGAATTGTAGGCGTTTCCAGCAGCTCGGCGAAGACGTAGGTGTGCGGGTTTGAGGTTGCATTTGTGATTAGGTTCGCAATAAATCGTGGGGAGGTAGCACTGTTTGAGTTGGCCAGGTGGATGAAGGGTTGCAGGGCCTCGATGGCCCGAGTATGTATTTGATCCATTTGGGGCGTGGTTGTCTGGTGCTTGATGGAGGTCAGTTGTTGCGGTTCTTTTGGCGAGACAGTCAAGCGTAGACCTACATTCAAAGAGAAACTGAGACGTGAGAGACTAAGTGCCGTATGCGAGACTCGGCGCTGGAGCTGCCTCTGATAGAATAGTTGACTGATAACAGTGGGGATGTTGATGGTGATGATGATACCTATCCAGCCGTCATCCGAATTGGGGCTGTTTGTTAGTGATGCAAACAAGATCTGTCACTTAAGATTCCGGTTGGGATTCAAGCATAACTGTGATCATAATCTCCAGATCGATACGAAGTATTCAGCACTATTCTAGGATGGTTGATCGCCGATGCTACATGCGAACTCACGTTATAATAATGGCACTGCGAATTGAGAAGTTTGGCACTTTGTCAATCAAGCAGCTCAGTTCCCTTCTCCTCAGCATTATGCAGTCTTCTGCTTATTAGTGTTGACGCCTGGGAGGGTGAGAGACCAAGACCATATTTCCGATGAAGCTTGTGAAACTCGAACCGAAACGGTATCTAGAGTCTGTGATCAGGTCTTGTCAAGTCCTGGTTCATTTTAGGTGGCTATCTGAGGGGTTAGACTGTATCATGACTAGTAGAAGCGTTTACTTGAAACTGGACACCATCCCAATGAGGATAGGAATTCTGGGTTTGTTTCATGATGGCCAATCGCATATTCTACTGCAATTGCACATGGCACCTGCGAACAATCATCCTCATTATTGGGGCTTTTGCAAACTTGAGACTATCCTTGAAAATTGATCAGTAGTGTAGTGTACGTACAGCAGACTCATCACACAGACAGAATAATAATCAATAGAGCCAGACATGAGAATCTCGGTTAGCCTTTTTGGGCTGGAGAGCCGAATTACCGAGTCAGACACCATTCCACCAAGGGAAGAGATCAAGGAGCGGTGATGATCCCCTTGCATATCGAGTCAAAGCATTGGAATGGAAGTGTGTTGACACTGCAGCTTCATCGCTGTCAGCCCGCAATGATTGTGTCCAGACTTGAGAGTCTCTGATACAGAATGGATCGCAAGTATGTGGCATTGTTGGCAAAGAATGAGAAGCTAGATAATCCGTACTTTGTGCAAGAATGGCCTGCTCCGTGACCCAGTTTATCTATCCGAAAGGCCGATCGAGACGAACTAGGAGTACTGGAGTAGACGAGCGAGTAGACTGGGCCTACGGCTGATTAGATTAACATTAATAATAGCGCCAAACAGCCCAAACCACAACCATTGCCGCTGATTGATTGTGGTTTAATTTCTTTCTGCATTATGGGCCTCTAGCCAAGACTTTCCGGCTGTTTCTTCCAGTTGCCCTCAAGAAATTGATAACCAAGAAGAAAGGGATGAAATGATATGCCCTTGTCGGTCTTCCGACCACATCCGTCCCTGTACTCCCTTCGTTGGTCTTTTCTCCGCTATTTATCTTTGACGTCAACCCAGCTGGCTGTAGACGCTGGCTCCTGGTCTCCCTTTTCATACAGTCTTGGTCTCCCTTCCATAACAGACCCTGATGCGGTAACACACTACAGTACAGCTTCCGTTGCGTAGCTTTGGTGAAGTCAAACCCCGCGCGATGGCGGCCTCCGATCCTGTACGCGCCCACGATAGTGGCTCCTCCGCCGGCCGATCCCCAGTGCATATGGCGACCACAACAGTCAAGGTGGATGGAATGACATGCGGGCATGTACTTCCGCTGTTGAAGGCGCTTTCAAGGGTCTGGAAGGTGTAGGAGAGGTGTCAGTTAGCTTGATGATGGGCCGAGCCGTCGTCCATCATGATCCGACCATAATACCTGCGGAAGCAATAGCCGAAAAAATCGATGACTCTGGTTTTGATGCTGAGATCATCTCCACCGACGGACCGTCGATACAAGCCGATATCCCGGAGATGCGCAGGATCCGACGCCGCGATTTTCGACCACGACGTTGGCGGTGGAAGGAATGACATGTGGCGCCTGTACCTCTGCTGTGGAAGGAGGACTCAAAGAAGTCAGAGGCGTCAAATCGATCAACGTCTCATTGCTGTCAGAACGAGCAGCGGTGGAGCATGATGCTTCCGTGATCACGCCAGAACAGCTCGCGGACATTATCGAGGATCGTGGCTTCGGCGCGACGGTGCTGGAAACCTCAACGCCGCAGGACGGGCCTCGTGGCTCGCAGGAAGATGCGGACGCTAAATCGCGCCTCATGAACACAACCGTCTCTATAGATGGCATGACGTGTGGCGCTTGTACATCCAGCGTGCAGAGTGCATTCGATGGTGCTGATGGTGTGGTTCAGTTCAACATCAGCTTACTTGCTGAACGCGCTATCATCGTTCATGACCCTACTGTTCTCTCGGCCCAACAAATCATCACAATTATCGAAGATGCGGGTTTTGATGCAGCTATCATTTCTTCAGAGCCTAAACTGTCTACGTCTAGCTCTATGAGCAGCGTAGCTCTGAGTTTACACGGCTTGCGCGATGTAGTCGCGGCAAATGATCTAGAAGACTCCCTTCTCCGGAGACCCGGAATACACTCGGCGTCCATCAATATGGGCACATACAAGCTTGCAGTTTCGTATGATTCTGCGAAAATTGGGATTCGTACCATTGTTGAGGCGATTGAGACTGCCGGCTATAATGCCTTGCTGTGTGAGTCGGACGACACCAACGCCCAATTGGAATCTCTGTCCAAAACCAAGGAGGTCCAAGAGTGGCGACGTGCATTCTTGTTCTCTCTCTCATTCGCGGTGCCCGTCTTCGTCCTCAACATGTTGCTTCCCATGTATCTACCCAAGCTCGACTTCGGCAAGCTCCCGTTATGCGCAGGCGTGTACCTCGGGGACGTGCTATGTTTGTTGCTCACCATCCCCGTCCAGTTCGGTATTGGGAAGCGATTCTACGTGAGCAGCTACAAATCACTCAAGCATCGCTCACCGACTATGGATGTTCTTGTCATGTTGGGCACATCTGCGGCTTTCTTCTACAGTGTCTTCATCATGCTTGTGGCCATGTGCACAATGGCCGACAAACGGCCCAACACCGTGTTTGATACAAGCACCATGCTCATTACCTTCATTACACTCGGAAGATGGCTAGAGAATCGGGCTAAAGGTCAAACGTCAGCCGCTCTCTCGCGACTCATGTCCCTGGCTCCGTCTATGACGACAATTTATGATGATTCTATTGCTGCTGAGAAGCTCGCCGAGGAATGGGAAACCGCCAAAGTTTACCCTGATGAGAAGAAGCCGGCATCATCAAGCGCCGAAAGATCTGGTCCAGGTCACAGAGTGATCCCAACTGAGCTCATTGAAATTGGCGACATAGTTGTTCTTCATCCTGGTGACAAAGTTTCTGCAGACGGGGTCGTCATTCGAGGCGAAAGTTACGTGGACGAAAGCATGATCACTGGTGAAGCGCTGCCCATTTATAAAAAGAAGGGCAGTACCGTCGTTGCTGGAACCGTGAATGGCACTAGTTCGATTGACTTCAAGGTCACCCGAACCGGCAAGGACACTCAGCTCAGCCAGATTGTGAAATTGGTTCAAGACGCGCAGACAAGCCGGGCTTCTATCCAGCGGGTGGCGGATATTGTTGCTGGCTACTTCATTCCGGCTATCATCAGTCTCGGTCTCATCACGTTCTTTGGTTGGATGTTCGTTAGCCACGTTTTGTCCCATCCTCCCAAGATCTTCGTTGCCGAAGGCAGTGGCGGAAAAGTCATGGTTTGCCTGAAGCTTTGCATCTCTGTCATCGTCTTTGCTTGTCCATGCGCATTGGGCCTCAGCACCCCAACAGCCGTGATGGTTGGTACTGGTGTTGGTGCGGAGCAGGGCATTCTAGTCAAGGGTGGTGCTGTGCTTGAAGGCGCGACTAAGATCAACCACGTCGTCTTTGACAAGACTGGCACCCTGACTACGGGGAAGATGACTGTTGCCGAGGCCAGAATTGAACGCCAGTGGCATGAAGGGCGTCGTCGACTTTGGTGGTTGATCGTGGGTCTCGCGGAGATGAGCAGTGAGCACCCTATCGGCAAGGCCATCCTCTCAGCAGCAAAGGCGGAATCAGGCCACTCCGAGGGCGATGGACTACCAGGCAGCTTGGGTGACTTCAATGCCCATGTTGGTAAGGGAATATCTGCATTGATTGAGCCCGCGTTCAATGGAGAACGGACAAGGTATCGTGCTGTAATTGGCAACGCCGCTTTCTTGCGGTCTCAAGGTGTATCGATTCCTGAATCTGTTGAAGCTGAAGATCAGTCCACCGGCAGCCCGAAGCCTACCGCTGGCATCACGCAGATTCATGTGGCCATCGATCACCAGTTTGCCGGAACTATCTTCCTCCGCGACACTGTGAAATCGACTGCCGTGGCTACGATCGCTGCTTTGCATCGCATGGGACTCAAGACTTCGCTCATCACTGGAGATACCAGGTCTACTGCCTTGTCCGTCGCTTCGGCCGTTGGTATAACCTCTGAATTCGTTCACGCTTCTGCCTCCCCGTCCGACAAACAATCCATAATCGCTTCGATGCAAGAATCTGGTGACCGCGTCGCCATGGTAGGCGATGGAATCAATGACTCCCCGGCTCTGGCAACCGCATCAATCGGGATTGCTCTGGCTTCGGGGACGGACGTCGCCATGGAAGCCGCCGACATCGTGCTCATGCGGCCGGATGATCTCCTCTCCGTCCCCGCCAGTCTATCGCTCTCTCGCGCAGTCTTCAGGCGCATCAAGCTCAATCTCATGTGGGCCTGCCTCTACAATGTCATCGGCCTTCCATTCGCCATGGGTCTCTTCCTGCCCTTCGGCGGCTTCATGCTCCCACCCATGGCCGCCGGCGCAGCAATGGCAGCATCCAGTGTCTCCGTCGTCGTCAGCAGTCTGCTCCTGAACTTCTGGAAACGTCCACGATGGATGGACGTCGAGAAGCTAGAGAAGGAAGCCCAGCTCGTCGGCGCCGGATCCTACGCTTCCCGGAAGAACTGGTGGGCCGCTGCTCTCTCTGTATCCGGTCCTGGCGGTCGTACAGGCCCGTTGCGCTGGGCCAGGCGCACAGGCGCGAGAGTCTGGTCGACTGTCACCGGACGGAGTCCGAGAACAATAGACACCAATGATGGCTATGTCCCTCTACAGGCGGTAGATCCTGTCGTTTAATTTGCCTCTGTACCCTTCTTGCATGTTTTTGGGTGCTTCGTCTCATGTGCATCGTTCATAGCTAGGATTCGGCGTATGAAGTACCTGCATGATGGATGTCTCTTCTCACGGCTATCTTAATAATTTGAATTGCATAGACATATGTGGTTTTCGAGGGTCTTACAGATGTTCATCGATACGTAGTATCTTTACGACTGCATCGCTAGTATAATGTAAAAATCTAAGAATACGAAGCAGCAGTGTTTGAATCCATGGAATAGCCTTGCACTCGCACATAGTAAAGTCACATCATATCATTCATCATTGAAGGCCAATAGTCAATATATGACCTGTAGACTGTCGCTCATAGATTTCCTGATCGTCATTATATGAAACAATGCAAGCCCAAGAAACACAATCAACGCAAACCGCGTCTAAACATTCTTGTCCTGTGTCGCCTCGGGAGTTTCAGTGGCCTCAGCCGCCGCCGCCGCTGTTGCTGTTGCGGCAGGAGCAGATTCCCCCGCCTCTTTCGCATCGTCAAGCTGGATATCCCCATCGCTGTCTGCATTTGCCCGAGACGCCGGTTCCTGGTTCTCGGTTTGTTCCTCAGCAGTAGAAGTAGGTTGCTCGGTCTGTGCCGACGACCGATCCGCAAGCGCATTTGCGTTCTGCGCCAAAGTCATCTCGACTCCCTTGCCGTCCTGCAGGCCCATATCCTCTACTCCTAGGATCGGCGGGCCCGAGCGTGGGGGATCTCTTCGGACGAATCGGCTAGCGGGGGCTAGTACCGCCCATAGTCTCGTTTTCTGCCGTCGTTTCTGAGGGCTGCCCTTGTGCGGTCGGATCCGAAGCGTTGTCACCCTGAACCTGCTGTTGCACCTGCTCTGGTTGTGATGTTTGCGCGACCAATGATAATGAATCGCCTGGGACGAGACCTACCAGAAACGAGTGTTAACAGGGAATGTATGGAGACAAGTAACTGAGAGCGTTACCTTCACTGAGAGTATTTCCACCCTCGTTGCCCGGGGAAGATGCGCCGGTCAACCAAGGGATCGGGGTGAGCAGGGCGCCACCCAGGGACTCATCACTTCCTGGGGCATGATCTGGAAACATGAAACTATGCCCTCCTCCGTTCAAGACGCCATTGACCTGACCGGCGCTGGGCTCTGTTTGAAGTGGAAATATATCAGCGGTACTTGTAACGGAAACGACTCGGTCGACGGCGCGCAGGTACGCAGGCAGAGTTCGATAGTGCGCATTAGGTCGGAGAACTAGTTCTGCGAGTCTCTGTATGGTGTGCGGGGGCTTCGATGCAAAAAATGTCTTTAATGTCGACTTGATGGAATCCAGCAATAACATAAGCGGTTGGGGAAGGGTATCGGTCGAGGAATCAACGAATGACTGTGGTTTGGAGTCTGGCACACGCTCGCCAGATGGAGGCGGCGTGGCAGCTGATGCGGGTATTGTCGACTGTGAAGGGTTCTCTGTCTCTGTTGGAGGAGTATTTTCTTTGTTGCTGCTCGGTGGCACTGAGTTGGGTTCTTGCGAGTAGGAGGATGGCTGTTGCTGCGCGGCTGGTGGTTGGGTTTCGACGTGGAATTTGGGCATGGGGAACGCGTTGTATACATTCTACTTATCTGTCAGTCCTCATGAAGAGTGGATAAAAGGATGAGTAGAGCCTGCGCACATGTTCTAGTCGCTCGAGGAGAGGCTCGACCATACCGGGCCATTTGTCGCTGGACGAGGTATTATTAGCACTCGATCATGATATAGATAGACTGACCGATTGTTGCCCGTACTAGTCCATTGAGCCGCCATTGGCGACCGTCTCTAAGCTTTCTTCATCTACAATTGCAAAATGTCAGCGCAAGATAGCTCTAGTAGCTCCTGGTGGCATTCCCAAGCTGTGTTGCCAGGGATAAAAAGACTCCAAAACGAAGCGCGCTCATGGACAGGTGATTATTTTTATGAGAGACACTCTAAGAAGCTTACCCAGTGACATTTTGACCCCACGCTTCCTTCTCGTCACTCTGTTGTTGAGGTTGTCCCCAGACGCAAGTTGCTTGCTCTAGGTTAATTAATGCAATGGAATGCTATACGCGTGGGGAGCGGCTCTCCCGGCAGTCGAAGCTTGTAATTGGCTGCAGTAATCGCTTATCGGAGCATCACGTGATGGTTATCGGCCAATTTTTCGATGGAGTCACGAATGTCCCCATGGCGGGCAGACGGAGGGGCCTTGTTTCACTCTCCCCAGACGTTGCAAGCACTGTGATCTGGTGACTGACCTTTGGAGCAGATCAATTCTAATTCCATAGCCTTCATTGCCTGTCTTGTCAAAATGTGGAACTCTCCAAAGGTGGGAGTCCTCGGTGGAGGTCAGTTGGGACGAATGCTCGTTGAGTCGGCGAACCGACTTAACATCCAGGTCAATGTTCTGGACGCCGATAACGCCCCTGCGAAACAAATCAGTGCCCACGACGGCCATGTGACTGGCTCATTCAAGGAGCATGAAGCTGTGCGTAAATTGGCGAAGACCTGCGACGTTGTGACGGCCGAGATCGAGCATGTCGATACCTACGCTCTTGAGGAGATCTCCTCGGAGGTCAAGGTTGAGCCCAGCTGGCAAGCAATCCGAACAATCCAGAACAAATTCAACCAGAAGGAACACCTGCGGAAATATGGCATACCAATGGCGGAGCACCGGGAGCTGCTTGAGAACACCCCTGCTGAACTCGCCAAGATCGGCGAGCAGCTTGGGTATCCCTTGATGCTTAAGTCGAAAACCATGGCCTACGACGGACGGGGTTAGTGAAGAAGACAGAACCCGAAATGGCTATATTGAAGTTCTTGTGGCTGACAATGGACGCCAGGAAACTTCCGTGTCAATTCCAAGGACGATATCCCCGAAGCCCTGGAAGCGCTCAAGGACCGGCCATTGTACGCTGAGAAATGGGCGTACTTCAAGATGGTTGGTCTTTTATTCACTTCATAAGTGACTTCGACCTAATATCGACGCTCATAGGAATTGGCCGTAATGGTTGTGAAAACCAAGGACGCGGTCCTCTCATACCCCACAGTCGAGACAGTACAAGAAGATTCGATATGCAAGCTCGTCTACGCACCTGCCCGCAATGTCTCCGATGCCATCAACCAAAAAGCTCAGGAGCTAGCCCGCAAGGCTGTCGCAGCCTTTGATGGCAAGGGTGCCTTCGGTGTGGAGATGTTCCTTCTCGAAGACGACAGCGTCATGCTGTGCGAAATTGCCAGCCGCATCCACAACTCGGGCCACTACACGATTGAAGGATGTGCCCTGTCCCAGTTCGATGCCCACCTCCGCGCCATTCTCGACCTCCCCATTCCCCTCAGAGCCTCGAAATCCGCCAACCGTCCATCATGCTGAACATCATCGGCGGCGCAGCCCCAGACACCCATCTTAAAGCCGCCGAGGCCGCTCTCTCCATCCCCAACGCCAGCATCCACCTCTACAGCAAGGGTGCCGCCAAACCGGGCCGCAAAATGGGCCACGTCACCGTCACCGCTCCCACAATGCACGAAGCCGAGAAGTACATCCAGCCCCTCATCGACGTTGTCGACGAGATCCGCTCCAAGCGCAGCGACATCAAGACGCAGCCCGCCAAGTCCGGCCCGTCGAAGCCCACCCCCACCGTCGCCGTGATGATGGGCTCGGACAGCGACCTCAAGACCCTTGTTCCGGGCCTGAAGCTCCTCCGTGACTACTTCGGCATCGAGCCCGCCGTCGACATCACCTCCGCCCATCGCACCCCAACATTCATGGCCGAGTACTCAGCCAGCGCGGCCGCGCGCGGCATCAAGGTCATTATCGCCGCTGCGGGCGGCGCCGCCCATCTCCCTGGTATGGCTGCCGCTCACACCGTCCTGCCCGTCATCGGTGTACCGGTCAAGGGCAGCTCGCTGGACGGCGTGGACAGCTTGTACAGCATCGTCCAGATGCCTAGAGGTATGTCATCTTCTTTTCTTTTACTATCTTTTTTCTTTCGCGTGGACTGTCACTAATCGTTCATCGCTACAGGTGTCCCCGTCGCGACGGTAGGAATCAACAACAGCATCAACGCTGCCCTCCTGGCGGCTCGTATCCTTGGCGCATCCGACCCTGCTATCCAGCGTAAGGTGGAGGCGTATGCCGAGCAGGCTAGATACGAGAACATGGAGCTGAAGGGGACCAAGATGCAGGAGCTCGGATGGGAAAAGTACTTTGAACAGATGTAACAGAATATAATAGCTAGATTGGATTATTGATGAGAATGGCTGAATGACTCTACCGACTTACGGAATATCGAGGAATGACACACGAACGAGACAGAAATTAGAGATTACGTACTCGGAACTAGTCATACAGATCATAGCCTGACAGCCACTAAGACATGATACACAGATACTGCAAGCATAAAACTCAGAAAGCGGAAAAAACATGATATCTCAAAGCCAGTACATGCGTCATCAGTCAGAAACAAAAGAAAATATTGAAGGGAACGGGCAGACATTTGTCCTCATAGCTAATTTCACCTTTTAAGCGGTCTGTGGGTTGAAGGCCTCGGGGGTGCCTCGGACGGTAAGCCCCTCGGCGGTGATCTTCGTAGCGGCCCTATTTTGATGACCGTTCGTGTGGCCATTGGTGGCGCCATTGGTGGCGCCGTTGCTGAAGGCATTGTCCATTTCATCTGCGAATCCACGCGAGGGATATCCAGTCTTTGGATGTCCGTCAGCACCGACCTGACCACCCTGGGTCGCTCGACCATCGGCTCCCTCGGTGGGTCGGCCATCAGCCTTCTCTCTGAGTCGGCTCTCGGCCGTCCGGTGAGGCTTGCGTTGGATGGAAGCGAGCTTGGGGATGTCCTTGGACTCAGAGGCACTGCCGATAGAGAAGATTGGGGATTCCCAGCGCTCTCCCTTGCGTGCGAGATCAGTGTATTCAGTAGCCTTGTTGGAGACTGCTCCAGGGAGCTTGATGTCTGGGAACATCGAGTCGTGAAGAGTAGTGACGGTCTGGATCTTGGTATCGCGCTGAGCAATTGCTTGAGCCTTTTGCTTCTTCTCGGTCAGCTTCGCGCGCGCAGCGTCCATGTAGCGCGAGTAGATGTTGGGAGCATTTGCAGGATCCTGCTTGGTAGCTTCCTTTGCACGCTGAACCTCTTGGTTGACTTCAAAGGCAAATGCATCACCCTTGACGAAGGCGTCATGGATCTGCTTTTCGAGCACCTTCTCCAGGGTAGGTCGAACAATGTTAAAGAGCATAGGCTTGAAGATGGCAAAGAGAATCTTGTGCTTGGACTTCCTCAACTTGATGTCAAGATCATGAATCTTCACTGTCACCTTGTCGAGTTTGACAAAGTGCTGGCGGTCCTCCTTGTGAGCTGTGGAGGCCGCGATCTTGAAACCAAAGCCCTCGTTACCGAGGAAGATGTCCATGACACCCTTGTCTGTGATTGAAGGGAATCCCTGCTTCTTCTTGATATAGTAACTGACGTCTAGCGAGGGGTTAGTAAACATAAACCCAGAAGACCGTCATGTTTCGATATTGAACCTACCTCGGAGATCGGCTTGAATACCGGATACCGAGATCATGATCTGAGCGAGGAATCAGTTTGAGCAACGGACATAACTGGATAGCGCGTGACTAACCTTGTTGTCTCTCTTGTTACTGATGTTCTTCCGACCCCAGCGGAAATAGTTATCACTACCAAATTCCACAACGTTCGGCATCAGATTGTCACTCTCGATGACGAGATTCTCCACAACCTGTGAACATCGCAATGTTAGTCATCTGGAACTCTCAAGACAGTTTCTTGAGGCAGACTCACCACGTCAGCCATCGGATCGGACACCTCGATGCGAGGCACAGGGACATAGCGAACGTTCTCAAAGACCGAAGGCAAGATGACATCTCTGATATCTTCAAGCAGGTGCTTCTTGAAAGCAACATTGCCACTAGCGTCTCGACCAAGGTCATTGAAGAGCTTCTCCAAAGCTGAGCGGAATGCTCGATTCTGAGGGTCTTGATTGAACTGATCGCCTATGAATCTGATCTCGTCAAGGATCCGATCGGTATGATCCTTGTAGCGATCGCGCAACAGGTAACGACCGTGATCGTACAATCGGTCCCATTCACGGTCGCAGTCCTCCTGCATGATGTAGCCTTGTTCCTGCAAGGTTTTCCTGCTCGAGTCAGAATGATCCGTATAGTCTAGCTTGGCCGTCGGACTCACCTGATGAAGGTGTCCATGTTCTTGAACCAGCCTCTGAGTTCCGGGTCCCTGTCTGCATCGCGGTAGATTTTGTCGAGGGAATCAAAGAAATCATCCAAGGACGTGCTGTTTGCAAATCGTTCAATGAGAGTCTGGCAAGAATATTAGCTTCACCGTCAGCGCTATTCTTCTGGTCACTCACCTTCAGATTGGTTTCCATTGATCTGATTCTCTCGTTGCCACGGAGTTCCTTTGTGGTTCCAGCACCTTGTTGGGAGATGTCTCTGGTGTGACGACCGTACTTCTCTGCGAGAGAAAGGAGCGTGCCAACAGCTTGCTGGTCTATTATAGGCCCCAAAGTTAGCGTCTATCCAAAGCTTCTGATCTCCGAATTGAACTTACAATCAGGATGACCCTGGATTTCAATAACCATCTTCTTCAATCGCCAGATAACTTGCTCGCGTCTCTCCTTGGGCATCTTCTGCTCCATGTAGCTACGAGTCCGCTCCTTGAGCTCCTGGGCCCGACTCTTCGCTTTCTCGGAGACATCCTCTGGGACTTTCTCTTTGGCCTTCTGGGCTGCCGAACTGACACCAGCCTGGACATCGACATCCTTAGCAGTGGCAGGGTCCTGGCCACCCGTTGCAGATTGTGTCGCAGTGTTTGCTACATCACCAGCTTCTTCCTACGGGGGAAGTGAGCATGCCAGCAGATAAGCTGTCAGAAGAGGATCTTACCTTGCTTTTCTGAAAGCGAGACTTGAGCTGTTCCTTGGGGATATCAGGCTTCTCGTGCCAGACATTCTCTTCAGCAGGTTGGTCCACTTGGGACAGCTGCTCCTGTGAAGGTCGGACCCTGTCGGCAGCTTGCTGCGAGACATCACCAGCCATGTCACGAGCAATGATCATAGCATCGTTCACTGTGAAGCGTCAGTACGGTACTTAAGTCGGCACTGACTTCCAAATGACTCCACTTACAGAGCTTTCTGAACTCTCCGTTTGTGATCATGAGAGTACCCAAGGTTTTTAAACCCTCGACGGCCCTGTCGGCATCCTGCTGGGCTGATTCTTTGCTCACTGGAACATCTGGCTGTACCGGCGCTTCGCCAGTGCCAATCTTTTGAGCTTCCCAGATAAAGTCTTGCAATAACTGGCCCTCATTCTTGCTAAGAATGAGTTTCTTAGCTTCATCAATGACCACCCGGAGATCCTTAACCAGGGCCTGGCCCTCGCTGGATAGTTCTTTAGGAGGGGACGACAGAGCCTTGGAGGTAATGGCACTATTCAAGGCGACATCACATTGCTTGTTCTGCAGAGGCATTTTATCAGTATGATGCACGACATACGCGCCTTGACGCATCTTGCGAGGATGATCCGTGGACTAACCGATGGAAGCTTGCCGTTTTTGAAAGCTGTATGATCCGTTAGCCTAAAATAATTGCTGAGGGATAGGTGCTCCAATCTTACCTTGATATATCCCGAACAACTGCAGCTTCTGGTTGATGTCCTGAAGCACTGTCAGAGCAATTCTTTGGAAGTGTAGGTATTGGTATGCCTACCTTTTCCTTTTGCTTAGTGTCCATAGGACGATTGACAGTTTTAGACGGCATGTTGAAGTCTGTTGGCACCGCTAATGGATGGCTTGCGACCGACAATGACAATCAGACAATATTGAGATAGAAATTATGGCTGCCACAAGAGACCTCGATGGTCACTTGAGAAAGCGATAGATAAGCTCTGCTAAGACTTTATTTCGGAGAAGAAAAGAGACGAATAACAGACAAATAGAATCAAGTGCACAAGAAAAGAAACAGATAACGAAGATCGCGTCACAGGGGTATCACCGGAATGGAGGACGCGAAGGGCGAGAGGAATGTGTGTTCAGTTGAGGTATGAAGATCAGTGTAAGGTAGACAGGACAACTATGGATCAAGAGTGACGAGGCAAAATGTGTTTGGAAGTCGATGGATTGTTGGTGACCTGTTTAAATAGTTTTCTAGACAACTGATATCAGATCAAGGGGGGTAAGGAAGAGGAGAGAAAAGTTGTTCGTGGGGTGACATCGATTATGACTGTTATTGATAGGGGCCGCAACCCTTCCCTGGATGCTTGACGTCACCGTGTCGTGGGTGATCGTTTTGCGCTGAGGGTTATAGCTACCTAAGGTAGGGAGTACCTGAGGTGTCCGGGCAGAGGTACCTTACTCTTGCTTTTGGTCGGGTTCCTGAGCATGATACGTAAGAGAAGCCTCTCTGTAAGCATTATTGTTCTTTTCTTGAAATTTGGTCGAGCATGTGCATATGAGTTCCGACGAATATGAGCTCATACATGGTCTTGGCTGAAGACATATATTCAGTCAATCAATGGGAAGAGGCGACTAAACCAAAGGAGGCAAGTCATCATCTGTACTAGGTTATGAACAAGAACTATCTATTATTGCCGACTCGATAAAGTTCAGAGCATGACGAAAAGCTTGAGCTCTACCTAGCTGGCCATTGCATCTTGACGATTCATCTTATATTCACACAAGAAAATGTACAGGGTAGAGCCAAAGTCAGCTATCAATGCTAATTCCCCATCTGCATCGGCCCCCGGTTTACAACCCACAAGGCAGAAACAAAAGTGAAGCCTCTGCGCTCTTGTTGGCTCGATCCCTTCTACGGAGTAGGGACTCGGCGTCGGGCGTACCCACTCTCTATAGTTAGTCCCAGTAACCTTGAATCCAGAAGGCTTGGCACTGAGCATCGTTTTCGTGGCCGACTAGCCACAAAGCACAAATTATGTATTCAAAGAAGAGTAAGTTCGCAGCGAAGCGAACAATGTGAAATCATAGCTCCATAAGATGTGCTACGTGGTCCATTCGCCATCCCGAGCAGGTTTCGACGCGCTGGGAATCGTTCCGCGATGACTTGGTCAAGGTCCAGACAAAGTTGTACTAGAGCTTTTGTGGATCATCAGTCTGACGTCAAGAGTCGTGTCGATCTGCCCACCACTTCAGCACTCCACAGTCCACAGTCTACAAACGCTGCGTACTACCTCTGGTACCTCTTATTGAGCCAATATTATGGCCAATTGCAGGTATTCCTTCCGTCGAGTTTCCTGGATGGATAAAGTGGGGATGGGAAAAGCAGCTGTAAGTGCCATGTAGAAGACATCGCAATTTTGCATGCCGCACCAAAATAGAACAGATAGCGGTTGAATGTTCCACTTCGTCCCCTATCATGCAATGCGGAAAAATGGTTGAAACAGACGAACTATCGTCTCAATGCCGTGCATTTCGATGCCTAATTATTTACAGACTCCCAAAATAGGCGCATATCTGCAGCCTAGAGTAGATGAATACAGGTTAACTCGCACTCAGCTGCTACCATGTCTGTCCTCGACATCCTTCTCTGAAGGACGACAAGGAGTACCACAATGGGTAGGATCATTTATTTAGCGGACTAATATTCAGTTCTTTGATTCGTTCATAGACCATAATGGCCCTGATGATAGCCAGGATATCCACCACCCGCAGATGGGTGCAAGGGTGGTCCGGTCACATAAGGCCCTGCACCTGGAATGTAAATCGCGGGTGACTGCATGAGCCGTTTTCGAGCAGATGCTGACATTGTCTGGAATGTGTCAAGAAGCGTTGCGATTCCCCATTTTCTAAGGCAGTACTGGAGGAGATCCTGGGTATAATCCAAGCATACGCTCGCCCGTGCGTGACAGTTCACGCGGTCCTTATTGTCGATCACGGGTGGTTCTGGAGTCTCAAAAGGGACGTTGGGAAGCGGTGGCACCGAGCGGTTCAGGACGAGTTCTGAATGTCGGTCCAAGAGGTCGAGAAACCGGCTACTGACCTGGTATGCTCGCTGAACGTCAAGATATGTCATCAATGGCACTAAGCTCGGCGTTTCCAAAATCTGGTGAAGTTTGCGGATGTAATCCATGCAACGCTCAAACAACAGAACCTTCGAATAGTCAGATGTCCCGATAAATCGATGCATGGGCGACAAAATGATGACAGTCGTGTAAAGGAACTCCAGTGTATATAAAATAGTGAAAGGCCCTGCAGCGTTCTGAGGAGCGTTCTCGAGCCATTCCTGGGCTTTGTAGCACAATGCCCAGGTGGAGGTCGCATTTGGGAGGGATGCCTCATTTTCGTATTCGTACTTGTTATGATATGCGGAGGACAGCATTTGCCGAATTTTGACTATATGCCAAGCAGGTTGCGCACTGTGCAAAAAGACATCGCTTGCATCTGCAAGAGCAAAGCCAGGTGCTGTGGTAACTGAGGGTAAAGCGACATTGACAGACCCATCAGAGAGGGAAAGTGTTCTCTCCAACGCGGTGCTTACACCCCTGTTCTCAACCAGATCAGTAAAATTGAGCTCGTATCAGAATGATGTAGAGGCACAAACCTATCCAAGCCGTAGACACAATGATAGACAATCCGACGAATATCTAAATGATCGGGAGTAGACAACTCTTCCAAAGGAGGGTCTTGATGCAAGCCAAGATCAACCATTGCTCGGACGGCCGTGCCTACAAGATACCAACTACGAAAGTGGTTAGGGTCGAAAAAGGAGTACTGGGCAAGCAACAGTATCCCCTGAATGCCAACCACGGATCCTGGGCGAAGAACTTCTTCGGCGTATTTCAGCGCCCCAGAAATCAGCGATAATGCCCTTTGATGATCTCCGTCGCCAGGCTGATACGACGTCGAAGCAGACGAGATGGCTAAGACAAGGCGTAAGATCCAATGATCAAATGGCTTGGCGAAACGACCACCGGACTGATATACAGCATCTACAGACGTCCAAAAACTTGTCTCGACGAAGAAAGGCAGCTGTGTGTATAGGTTGTCGAAATAATGGCGCAAAAGGGGTGTTATTTCATGACGTGAGGGTAATGACTGCAATGATAATTTCGGCAGCGGCTCGGCAATTGCCAATGATAGTAGAAGATTGGCGAAAGACGTGCTCGAAGTAATACCGTGGAAATCTCGTGAGGTGGCATTGACCGACCTAGAACGGCTGGTCAGCAACGAAACAACGAGGGCAATCGAAGATGAACGGACAAAAAGCCGAAATCCCCAACCAGGTCGTCAATGTCGGAAACCTCTTTACGATGTGATTGAGCGACACAATCCGGCGATGAAACCGAAGTGATAGAGCTTTCCCGGACAGTCCCTATTTCATCCGTTGATGAAGATTCCTTGCGATACCGCAGGCTTGCAATCTGTTTTTCAAGTCGTTCACAGTAGCCCTCCAAGGACGCTACATAACTTCTCTCTTTTCCTCTGGCAAACTCGTCACTGGCGCCAGAGCAGGTGCTTGCTTTCCCCACTCTTTCGCACGCGGAGCAGGCAGGAAGTTTCCCATCGCATTTTATTTTCGCGGTTCGGCATCTTGAGCAAGCGGCAACCGGCCGACTAACTTTGAGCAGCGGTTTGTCTAGAAATGAGTTTGTCGACATTCTAACATAGTATTACCTGGGCAGCATGTCAGAAGACCGGAAAACAGATTGCAACAGAGTATGACGCGTCTGAAAACACCAGGCGCATACCGAATGGCGGACGGACAATGGCTGAGATTAATGTGAAATGCGTGCAGCATGTCAGATATAAGAACGGTGGCTCTGAAATGTGGTCTGCCGAAGCAATCACAAGTCTTGCGAGCGAGGAGCGCGACCGAAAGAAGATCAAAATAGAGGCTGATTCATCTACTATCTTAATGACTTTGGGAATAAGGCATTCAGAAAAGATGACAGAAGTACCTCGGGATCGATCATTAGTTGCTTTGACAGACTGCTCTCAGCAGAACATTCGGTCTCTGTGGATCTCTTTTGCTTTTTGTGACGATGTACCTTTGTAGTAACAGCGAGAGACCCAGAAGAGGAGAGAGATTATCGACGTCAATGTCAAGACAAGCCGATTACCATATCCTGTGGAAATATTAGTGATATTTACCCAAAAAATGATGAGGTTATCAATGGAGGAAATAAGTAGCGGATTTGCTCCGCGTCACAAGTCACTAATTGGGGTACCGTGAGGAGATAAGAAAGGGATAGGTTTAGCCAAAAGCAAAGCGGTAAATGAACCCGGTTACCTTGACCAAAGGGGTACCTAAATGAAGGCGACTAAGTTCATGCCACCAACTGGGTCAGCCGGCAGTGGTGTGCATCCAACAAAGCAGCATGACCGTTATGCGGCGGGTAAGGCAGTAGTAGTGTGAGCAGCAGATACGTTGTAGATAGATAGTGGAAGTAGAAATCATCATCTGCTGATCTTCTTCCTAGGCTGATTTGGCTCTTCCTCTTCCGTTGGGTTTCCCTTTTTCCCCACCTCTTAAGGACACCCCACCTTCCGTACTCCGTACTACCCTCTCCACCATACCCAGCAGCTTGTACAGCTTATCTCTTCGGCAATGGAGAAATCCGTGGCTCTGCCGACAATCGAATACAAGAGCAATGGTCCTAATTTTCCTTCCCCGAATACTACAGGCGCCTCGCAGGAGATGATACAGCATGATTCGGGGCTTCGTCCTGAGCTCCAGATGCATGCCACAGACCAACACATATGCATATACTCCGCCGGGCATCCCTCTTTCAGACAACAAGTCCTGTTCCCAATTAAGAAGCTTCAACATAGACGGGTTCCATGCCACAGCACTACCATTCTGGTTCTCTTAACTATGGAATTCTCGGATGTCCGGAACGAGAAATTAATATTAATAGCTGCTTTGCGCCCCTTGTCTATAGTGCATGGTAAGTGCACGGTTGGTGCACGTGCATATCCAACATGCATCTGTTATACAGACCTTACCCAGTCAACTTACACAGGTTCAAATCTTGGTCTTGCCTGGTTGTCATTTGCGATCCAATTCCAATCAGTTTCTAAATGTCTTTCCTTTCACAACAAGCTTGCTTGACTCTGCAGACTCGGATTTCTAACGCTTGAGGGCCTCGATAAGAGTTTTCGAATCCCTCGTTGCCGTTAATGAGATATGGGTTAGGCACTAGCTTGGCCAGCTCAGACACTTCGGTCAGAACTTGAATATAGCGGGCCACAGACTTATTGGCCTCCCTACCGCCATCCTTCCTTATAATCCCAAACTGAGTACAGTATGTCTACCCTTGAAGTCTGTGTTTCCACATCTAGCGAAGGTTATCAGCAATTCGGATGCGTTCGATTCGGTGAAATACCCCACCAGTCACTTGTTGTAGTGAAAGGCTGGAACCTTCTGGTGACTTGTTCAGAAACAATGCGAGCAAATTCATCCCCATTGCAGCGGCATCGAGAAACATACTTGAAAGTCTGTTTGCTCGCACTCAAAGGCTCTGAGACTCTCCGCAATTTGCTTAGTCACGGAAGTCTCGAAGACTCAATAAGAATTCCCATATCAACCATCATGTGATCTCCCGAAGGACGTGAGTAGGTTAGGCAAAAAAGCATAAGCGAGTCACTGAAAAAGGAATTACACTGTCGACCGCAGTATATATCGACTTCACCAGTATCTGATGTCCACCCGATTCAGGAAGGTCCAAGTCATATGAGATCTCGAGCAATGCTTGCCGCTGTTTAGCAATAATGCCTTTCGTGATGAACCGTCAGGAGACGAGCAATCAGAGAAAAGTATAGTCGCAGTCGCAGTTGATGTTTCAATGAAGGAGACGTGCTGCATCAACAGCAGCATGCTTAACATATAGCATGAATAGTCTCCTCAGAGCAACCCCTTCGCTGTGTAGAGCACGTCAGCAACAGCTGTGAGTTTCAATAACACGAAGCATTCTGCGAGGGGCAATAGGAAGCAGGGTCACTGCTTAGGAACAATCATCCATTCAGGAATATGACCTAGTTCACATGGTTCGGCCAGCCTCCTATTTGCTGAACGCCGTATATTGAGTTTGTTGAAGTGGCTGGAGCTAAGCAATACCTTCCAGCACCCTTTTGCCCAAAATTCCGAACGATAGAGACTTTCCTTATCGACGGCCATGGTTGCTGGATAAAGATCAGAACCTCCTCGTCTCTATTGAATGACCTCCTTGCAACTTACAGCTATGGGTGGTTGAATACGGTATATTTGGTCGATCCAGAACCCCTTAGCAAAGGCAGAAATAATTCTCGTAATTCGCTCTTGGACATCGACATAACGATGCAACCAGAGTACGTAGATACATCTTGGACAGTTGTGAGCTTGAGCATTGGGGTGGGTGGAATAATACTCACCTACGACTGGTTGGTGTCAGTCCCGCAGGTACCTACGTAGCTACCTACCTAAAGTACCTAGTTGTTGGCTCATCACTTGACTTAGCGCCTTTGTGGGATCTGGACCGAGGAGGTACCACTACGCCCCTCCTCCTTGCATTCGAAGGATCAAAATATATCCTGTGTCCGTCGAGCGCACAAAATAATAGAATTAATCGCCTGCGAGCCCTTGAGACCAGTCACGAGTGCTCCGATTTAACGTTCCAGACTGATGGTTTCCCCCGGGTGCTGCCGCCTACGCCTCCTTGCAGATGAACCCTGAATATGTCGACCGTGCTCTGTCGTCAACATTATTCTGCCGGTGGTCGAAACATCAATTGTTACTGTGGGTCTAACTTAAACTCAAGAACCCCTCACAAGGGCAGCTCCATGTGAGGCATGGAAGCTGTATTGCATAGCGCTTTGTGACTCGGAATCCCTTTGAACGTGCGCAACGACTCGTGGGCTGCCTACCCGACGCACGACCATGGCCACACATTCGAGTCCGCTGGAATTACATCCACGATTTACAAATCCGTGGAAGGAGCCATCCGTCAAAGCATCACAGCAGATAGGAGAAGCTCCGGACGGGCGGATTGCGCATACATTGACAGCGTGTACTAGGTGTCGACAGGTGCGTTCCTTTTCGTAAATTCATCATCTTTCATCTACCCCGCCTGTTGGATTTATCGTTCCTAAGCTAAGAGTTACGAAGCGAAAATCTAGGTGTGATCCTGGTATTCCGAGATGTTCCCCATGCGAACGCAGTAATGCCAAGTGCGTATACTACGATTCCGCCCGCAAGTGCACCATACCGAGAACATACATTATCTCCCTGCGCGAAAAAGCCCGCATGTTAGAGAAAGAATTGGCCGATCTGGAGAAAGATATCCAACATGCTGCAGATGCCGAGCTCATGGTCCGAGGGGCGGGGCGCATTCGATTCAAAGAGAATGACGAGTCGAGGTACCTTGGGCCATCCAGCGGTATCGCAATTACTCGTTTGGTCATGGAGATGGCCAAGCAGAACACAGACTCAAAAAGCATCAAAGATGTTGTTCCTGAATTCACAGCACAAGAGATCAAAGCAACATTTGCGCTAGAAAGCTCTAAACCGACATCGAAAGTCTACCCCATGATCAGCTCAATCCCTCAACCTAATCTACCCCCGCGTAATCTGACTTATCGACTGATCGATGTATTTGTAGTCAAGGGTGAGTTCTGCCTCTCTAAATCGACGATTCCTGATGCATCTCGTTTAACCATATCTGCAGCGCAAGCTATGCTACCGACGCTGCACGAGCCTTCTTTCCGCCAGGAGGTTGAACAGGTCTTCAATGGCTCTGATGACCCTTGCCTCAATTTCCAACTCCGCATGGTCATTGCCATCAGCATGCAAAAAATGAGCACCGAGTATGCGGGATTGGCTGACAGTTACTACTTGGCGGCACTACCATATTTAGAGGCCTCTCTTAGGCGAATGGATCTTAGGGCTCTGCAATGCCTCGTCCTGATAGCCCAATACTCTCTGCTGACGCCCACAAGGACGGCTGCGTACTGGGTTGTCGGGATGGCAGTCAAACTCTGTCAAGATCTCGGGCTGACCGAAGAAGCGACAGTGACCAAGTCGCCGGATGGGAGGTCACTGAACCCGTTGGAGGTTGACATGCGAAGACGGTTATTCTGGATTGTCACCTCGATGGAACTGGGCCTCGCGCATAGCCTTGGTCGGCCAAGTTGCTATTCTATCCCCCATGATTATATCAACGTCAAATTCTTCGAACTTGTGGACGATCGATACATCACAGCCGATGGAGTTCTTCCCGGAGGCACACCAATCTTAGCCAAGTGCATAGCCATCCACTTTTTCAAGATGAGATTGCTACAGTTAGAGATACGGCGAACTCTGTATTTGAACAAGCGTGACACCCCTGCGAATGATCAAGACCCGTGGTTCTCGCAAATGCTAGCCAAGCTCGACCACTGGGTGGCTTCTTGTCCTAAAAACGATGGCGGTAGCGGATTGAGCGAAAAATGGTAAGAAATCAAATCCCATCTCGTTGACTTTGTTGATCGCCGACCTTTGCCCAATAGGTTTCATGGCAGACGGAATACGATGATCGTCTTCATGTTCCGACCATCCCCTCAAGTCCCGGAACCCTCCGTTGATGCTGCACGAAAATGCTATGAAGCGTCGGTGTTCAATGTTGCCATGCAACGAGAGCAAATCGCAACTGGGTCAGTTGATCTGACCTGGATTTTCACACAATCACTCTTTATGGCGCTCAACACCATTCTCTGGTCCCTATCGTACCCCGATATCCGAAGGGAGCATCCCATAGAGGAGGTCAGGGCTCATCTCGACGTCGCTTTGGAAGCGATGATGCTTGCCGCGGAGAGGTGGCCCGGGGTTGAGTCCGCTTTGCTGTTGTACAAAAATCTTGTGACTGCATGCCTCAAGGCTTATAATACCGACGAATCGTTTGTCGTTCATTCGCCGTCCAACCATGCAACACCGTCATCCACACAGGACGTGATTACTCCGCCTTCTATTTCTAGCCCTTCTAGTACGACAACTTCATTGCGAGCTGGGAATCATTCAATTTATGATACTGTTTCAGTCGGCACTGTCTCAAGAGGACACTCCGCGGACCCGACTTTCCCATACTCACAAGCATCTCCGGCGGCAGCCGTGAGAGCCGAGTCACAAAAGCCTCCATCATACTCACATTGGGAGACTGAACCCCCTCCATTGCAACCGTCCGACTCGAATTCTACGCAGGCCTCATACACACCTCAGGGGTATACTGAATCATCCACCGTATTCTCTGATGTTACTTTCAATCCCACAACACCATTTAATTCTTTTCCTTCAGTAGTTCCGGGGTTGCCCGGTTGGGATCCTAATTACACTGTTGCCTCGACGACAGCGAGCCATTTAACCTACGTTGATGCTGCCGTTGACCCAATGCGCTGGATGGACACGATTGATGATCAATATTCTCAGTATTTCAATGGAGCTTTTCCCATTCCACCCTGGCGAGGACGGACGCTCAGTCAGCAAGAGCAGATTGAGCTTATGGCATCCTTGGAGGAGAATATCCCCGACGTCTCCGCGCAACTTGTGAGAGAGTCGGCCACATTTTATCAGTCATGATCTTTGCGATACTCCCGGTTGAAGATCACCAATCTTGAATTTATTCGCGATATGCATGTCCTTATTGTCTGCGAATCCAAGCTATACCCATCCTGCTCTGTTCGATATTCTGGAATAATGTGCTCGGCTTGGTGTTGGGGCAACTTCTCACTTCATATCAATGTCTTTACTATCCTAGATTAACCTACAAGTGTTTGACGGGAGAGGAGGTTATACTGTATTTGAAACGGTTGGCCACCGAGTTGACAGTGATGGACTCTACTGAGTGATAGTGAATCGTTTCAAATCCACTTCATGATTAACATGGACAATCCAGCACTAGATCAAATCTACACATTTGAACAGATTCCAGTTGCAGCCAGATACCACATCCAAAGGTCAATTTGTCAGGCTTGCTGGCACAAGTTTATGAAAGCAGATATTAATAACGAAAGTACCAGAAACAAGCCCCCAACCGCCCCTTCTTTCTCTCCCCGGGAAACCCCCGAAACACATGATCTTTTGAGATGCATTGCTTGAAGCACGTACCTACAGTCTTCGAGACTTCACCGCCTCATCTGGAGTGCAGAACTCCGTAGGTTGAGTCCAGTTGAGCGAACAATGAACCTGCGAGCATTGACTGAGAATAAGTGTAGAGATCTCGATGGCTGACATCTATACTCCATAAATAAGCGCTCGTCCGCTAGGATTGGCTGTCTTTAGAGGATTACGGCTGTAAAAAGGCGCGATATTCTTCTTGACAAAGGACGTTATTCTTCCGATTTTTTTCCCCTTCCTTTTTACGGAGTCTTTCAGTCAACAACCTTTGGTGGATGCATACGGGCTTAATGTAACTCCTTTTTCAAAAACGAAGAGACGTTATTCTCAAAAGACCAGGTCAAGATTAGGGAGGTTGAACATATTCTACCGTTCCGGGGACCAAAAAAGGCCTCTACTTACTGTACGGCGTATTACCCGAATAGGAAAGTAATTAATCCCGGCGCCGAGTGCAAGCGCGAAAAGACACCCGATCACGTGTGCGCCTGGCCTCTTTGCCGTCATCCAACATCTCCAGTCGTTTCTCCTCCATTATTGAGTGTCAAAGGGCATCACTATTCACCACCAACACCAAACACCGCCTTCCACTTCTTCCTTTTAAGTCAACAAAATATTGACCCCTCGACTCTTCAGTTAGAGATCGTGTGATTTGATTGGAATGCGCGGCATTTAGACGGTCGTGGAACGTCCTACTTGAGCGAACCTCGACCGGCGTGATCACATTCCGCCCCCTCTTAGAGCCGTGACCTGCCTGGCTTGCTACCCCCGTATCAAAGATCTTCTAGATAGGATCTTTTCACGGTCGGTCGCAGGGCTCAGGCTGCTTGGGCTTCTTGCCTTTCTCTTGTCCCGGATTCCTCATCTAGGATCCCCATGTCTGATTGCGCCTCATCAGCGTCATTCCGAGCAGGGCCTCCTTCACCATCATCTCCCGCTTCCGGGTCATTGAAAGAGAACCATCCACCGTATATATCTGAACATTTTCCACAGACTCCGACATCTCCTCCGTTGATGTCGGTAAGCGCTTCTAACTATGCCACCAATATCGCATCCTCCCAACCTCCCAGCCAGGCGACGTCACAACCTGCGAACCTTTCATCCCCTCCTTCCTCAGCTCCGATGTCTACACAGACCTCACAACAGCCGACCCTAGGTGCAACGAATTCTTTTCCTACTCCGGCCAGCAGTGTGAGCGGCCACTTCATGGGATCGACTTCCGTCGAGGATTCAGAGCACACGGGAACATCATTTGAGCATGTGCAAGCAGACTCAGGCGCAACTACTGCCACAGGCCTGCGTTCATCATCTACACAACAGTCAGAGCACAGACGGACCGATCACGATCGGGAGGTGGAAGGGCCAACTCCTGGGATCGATGTCCGCGATTTTGCGAGCATGGACGTCCCACATACACACAACGATACAGATGCCATGGATGTTGACAAGGACGTCAACGCTTCTGCTAAATCCGATGGACTGAGCCTAGAGTCCCTGCAGCAGGATTTCTCTTCCGCATTCCATCTTTGCAAAAGCTGTAAGGATACCCCTGATGACTTCTCTATACGGCACATGCCGTTTTTCAATGCACTATGTTCCACATCTTATTGAACTGAGATTTGTTAACATTGTGCTCTATGCAATCTACAGCCCATATTGCGACCGGCCCGGACCCAGCGCTAGATCTCATCTCACTTTATGGTCTAGGTCCGGTTGCGAAATCGGTTGCAAGGATGGATCCTGTCACGGGGGAGAAGATCAACAGGCTCAGGAAGTCTTATGAGGGCAAACTGAAGGGTTTGGGGCTCGCGGGGAGAAACAAACCCGTGAAGCACGACCCCTCTGCCCCTGGCGGGCTTCGACATCTAACCATGTGGCCCGAAGAGGAATGGCAGAACCAGAAGGTTTATGGCAAGGAAATCAAGGTCGCCGATGTTGATTCCGCATTGCATAACCTTCAGATGAAGGCGATGCAGATGGAGCCGGGCACAGTCCCGAACAACGAATACTGGGAGGACGTCTTGGGTCACGAGAAGCCATCGAAACATGCGGGCTATGGGGACGGAAAGAAAGCAGCTACACTTCCTAATACCGCCCGATCGCCTAGCCAAGCAAATGACACACCTCTTCCTACGGAGCCGGAACGCGCTCGCCCTAGTCGCGGGCGCAAGAGGCATTATGACGAGAACAGCTTCGTCGGGTATGGCGAAGGCTACGCCGATGACGATGATGACGCCGCATTCTATTCCAACAGTGAAGGAATGGGAAAGAAGAAACGAAAGAAGGTAAGATCACATGCCATTTGGGATGGGTCGTGGACACGACTGATCGTTCTTGTTTTCCTAAAGGAGCATGTTTCAAAGGTTTCGACTCCGCTGCCCGATAGAGGCGGTAGCTACGGCGTCGGTATGTTTGGAATTGGAGCGAGGTAACCGAACGACCTTAAAGATCTACGGCATGAAAAGCAAATTTCTATGTTCCAGACCAGAGGGCGAGGCATTGACTGTCTGTGGCATATGCATGAATATGCATGCGATGAGAGATATCGCTAAGGCCGGATATCAGGCCGATGACCTTGTCCTGGTCCCATTCATTACTTCTCCGTACATTTTGTTCTTTTTTGCATTACGGTGCTGGATATACCCGGCTTTCACAATGGGATGGCGTTCGGTGGGGGAGCAATAATCAGCTGCGGAAACGGATGCTCTTGTCGCTTTTTAATGTTGTCATTCCATTATCTTCTCTTTTGTGTTTCGGCTTTTCAGCTGGATCTTCAATGGGTCAATTGTTGTCGTTGAATCGTCCTTTTCCGTCGCCCCGGTGGATGACTGTTTGGTCAAGGCTCATCAATCATGCTCGTGATATGGCGGTACACTTCTCTTTTCCTCTCTTGAAGTACCCGGGGGAGGTTGTGTATTCTTTTTCGTCTTTTTTCCTTGTCTACGGACAATAGCTAGGGAGATTTCGCTGGCACAAGGATGCCCCCAATGTGATACATTATCTAGATGAATGCATATGAATGGTTTTGTCTGAAGTCTCTTTACTGCCTGCCTCAGCATAAACAGTCATCTAGAATCTCACACTCAGCGTTTCACCCCTCAGCGGGGCAGGATCGATCAATTGCTATCAAGCGGGGCGGAGAAGAGGACCAATCCCAAGGTTCCGATTATTATCTACAACATATTGCAATGTGCTTACTTTGGGATTCTAATCTCCTATCTTCAATCTCTGTCACTCACATACCATTACACGCTAAACCATCATCGCGTGCAACAATCGTAAAAGCTCCAACCATGGCAACCACCACCCCAGCGACAAACTCACCAAAGCCCTCGCCCTCATCGACGAAGCCCACGCCCAAGATCCCCGCCGCATCACCATCGCCGACAACGGCAACGGCAACGGCAATGACACAATCCCCTACGAGCTGCACTACGCCAACAAAATGACCACCTACCTCCACAAACGCACCGCCAACCCGTCCGAGCCCCTCCAAGTCGCCATCCGCGCCCAGCACCTCAAACGCTGGGAGGTGCCGCGCGACTCGTACCCGGCCACAAAAGCAGGCTACTATGCGTGGCGGACGTACCTCGCGAAACGGCAGGCCGAGCTGGCGGAGCGGATGTGTCTGGAGGCGGGTTATTCGGAGGCCGAGGCGGGAGGGTGGCGGCGTTGGTGCGGAAGGAGGATCTGCGGAAGGATGAGGAGACGCAGGTGCTGGAGGATGTGGCTTGTCTTGTGTTTTTGGATGATCAGTTTGAGGAGTTTGAGAGGGGGCATGATGAGGAGAAGATCCTGGGGATTCTGAGGAAGACATGGGGAAGATGTCGGAGCGGGGCATGAGTTGGCGTTGGGGATTGAGATGTCGGAGAGGGCGAGGGAGTTGGTTGAGAAGGCTTTGAGCGGGTGATTTAACTCGTCTAGTCTTAGATGATGTTGAAGATACCCTGGCCTAGGTATGTTTTGTCATTTGAAGAGAGTTGTATAGAATCAAGTATCGTACATGTCATCATAATTGAGTGTTATTGCCTGTCCCAGTCCCCAAACGCCGCGCTCGGTCTATATGTCCCTAGACTTTTGATGCATAACAGAATAAACGGCTGTGGTATCATGAAATCAAGCAGAACCATGGTCGATCAAGCGCACAAGCGCAATAGCAGCGCCAGCCGCTACGCCGCCAACAAAGCACATCTGCACACCACCCTTGATACCCGCAATGATGTTGTCCTTACCGCTCCAACCCCGAACGACACAGGTTTTGATGTACCCAAACGCAAGCAGCGTTACAGCCATAACGCCAATACTCCAGTACAGCGCCACGATGACCTGGTCGACCATGAAGTAAGGTATGAGCGGGATGAACCCTCCAACGAAATACCCCAGGGCAAGAGTAATGGCTGAGATCCAAGCCTGGTTACAATCAGGCTGGGTCTCCTTGTGATGGAACGAGATAAGGAAGTCAAGGAGACGATCGTGCGATGCATGCAGCGATGCGTTGATCTGCGAGATGGCGGCTTCTGGCAGGCCGTAAGCGGAGAATGTATCGTGGACGATGGCGCTTGTCTCGACAGGCGAGGTCTCAATCAACTCTTTCGTTTCGCGGACAGTCGTTTGATACGACTCTCTGTAAGCCATTAGTCCTCAATCACAGTGGAATACGGATTGACAGCGAGAAACGCACGCTTCACTCTTGGCCCCGACGTATCCACCCAAACCCATGGAGATGGCACCAGCTGCCAGCTCGGCCAGTCCACCCAGCACGACGACTTTGGTATTCCCCAGCGCAGAGAGACCAGCACTCAGTGCAAAGGGGACAGTGAGGCCATCGGATAGACCCAGGATGGCATCCGAGATGATGCGCGGGTTGATGCGTGATCGGGGAGTAGAGGAACTGGATGAAACGGAGTCGGAGTCGGCTCGAGGTGTGTGGAAGGTACGATAGGATCTTTGAGCTTCGATATCTTGATCCACATCGCTGTCTAGAGTGTCGGAATCGCTTACTGATAAAAGAGGCTTGCCTGTTGCCTGGTTAGCGTCGTATATACTCCGGGAAATAGCCGCATTCAACGAACCATAAGTATCTGACCGGGGTTGCTTTCCTTTGGTCGGGAAAAGCTTTTGTTTAAGAAACAAAAGCGCCATTTCAGAAGATAATAAATAAGCTCGACCGGGAATGGGTTCGAGGGTCTGAAGCCCCAGAAGGCCCGAAATAGGAAGAAGAGAAATATACAGTATTGCAGGCAATCAGTGGCACTGACGTCAGAGTCAGGAGGCGATTCTAGGCCTTTGCAGGACACAGACGCAAGTTGACAGAGACGCAGTGATAATCACAAGTCACAGCAGAGGACTAATATGCTTAATGCCCTTTAAGAAGCGATGCTTACACCGTTTATCTATCGTCCAGTCTCAAATATCCCTAGACCTTTATAAGGAATTCAAATTGTGTGTAGCTCCTCTTGCTGATACATCAAGGGGGTTCTAGGTTCGTGGCAATCCGCCAATCAACGCATCCGTAATCGTCAGCAATCGAAGATCTGGATCGCATCTTCGTATCTCCCGCAGCTGGTGGTCTGTGTTATGATAATCCGCACAGTCTCATTGGCGAAGGACTCAAGGTGATGACATTGCAACGTCTAGGACTGGTTGATTGTGTCTCAATAATTTCAGGCTGCATACAAATGCGTACTCCTTTCACCTCTAGTGGCAGCGGTCCCGCTTGGGGGTTAGGATATTGCAGTCTCTATGATTGGAGAGAATACAGACTCTTGCCAGGGCTGGCCTCCGGTACAAGCTGTGGAGGTCCTCACTGGTGAGAATGAAGCATTACAAAGCGTTGAAATAGGACTGTCACAGGAATGATGGCAGAATGCCGATGGTTTTATTGGTAGTCCGTCGCAACGGTTAATCTGACATTAAGGTATTATTTCCAAGAATTAAACATCACTAAACATATCAACCAGTTCAATATCATCGATAACGAAGCATAAGCATTGTCCAACCAGTCAACTCTCTATGTTAATCAACCTACAGAGCCATGGCAAGACCAAGGATACCAGCAGCACCCGCAATGCTAGCGGCAATGGCACCAGTGGCAGCAGGAGCAGCAGCAGCAGCGCCTTGTGAGCTGGAGCTCGACGCAGAGCCCTGAGAATCAGATCCCTTGGATCCAGATCCAGACCCAGAGCCCGAGTTGCCGGTGGCCGTTGCTGCGGCACCAGTCATGGAAGCATAGTTGGTCGAGATCCACTGCTTGACGCTGTTAGGCAGGTCGGTGTACCAGGCAGGGTAGTGACCCTGTTGGATATCGTGGATAAGGGATGAGCGAACGCTGGGGTTGGCCAGCTGAGACATGTATGAGGAAGGAACAGCAGTGATGAGCACAGAGGCAATGGACGGAGGAGGCATGCCGTCGTAGGTGAAGGCGGCGGTTGGCGCGGAGAAGGAGCCGAGACCTCCCAGGTCAGTCGGGACGCCGCCTAGCTTGGTGTTTGTAGGAACGTTGCCAGCGGCGGTATTGGTTGGGAAACCGCCAAAGTCGGTGTTGGTCAGGTATTGGTTGTAGTCGGTGTTGGTCAAGTATTGGTTGTAGTCAGTGTTGGTCAAGAACTTGTCCCAGTTGTTGGTGTCAGCCCTGTGTCCACAAGATCGGTTAGTATCGTTCAGCTTGCTTGCTTCTGGGGATATACTGACAAGCTGTTCAGCTCGTTCATGAGGCTCGAGTAGTAGTCATACTGTCTCTTGCCGACATCTTCTGGAGAAGCTTCGGGAGCGGCTTCAGGAGCAGCCTCGGGGGCGGCGTCGGGCCTGGCCTCTGGTGCAGCCAGGGCAGTGGCAGTCAGAAGGAGCAAGGAAAGGGTCTTGTACTGCATGGTGAAAGCCGAAATGACTGTCGTGCTGAAGGTAAGGATAGTATGTGATCGAAATTTGTATTAAACAACTACAGGAATATGTCTTCTGGAAGATGGCAATAACCTTATATGAAAGAAGTTTGAAAGAACGTGAAGAATACTCAAGTTTGCACAGGTCGATTCAGCCTCATCTACTGGCGATACGAGACTTTATACTGCCCATGGCCATTAAAGTTATATTATTAGAATTGAATGCGGCTGGAAACGGATTTTCAAACCCCAAACAAGCGAACTGCTGCTTCAGGCCTCTCAGACGAAGGGCTCCCAACGAGGAGCCTATCATCGCGCACTAGGGACGGTCATTGTAGGCCTTCGCCTGACTATCGATGGGGAAAAAGAGTCCAAGATGGCTCCTACGGAGTCGAACCGATGTCCTAATTTGGAATCGTAGTTGTCAAGCCCTGAATCTATTTGAGAATGAAGCCCTGAAAGTGGGAACGGCAGCAAATGAGCAGATAGGGGTCCAGAAAGAAAGACTTCGTGTGGATGATCAGATCCCAAAATGGATCTTGAGGCTCGTATAGACGGGAACTTCAGGACGAGTTGATCTGACCCCAAGATACGATGTTTGCTTGGCAGGACGTCCCGCGCTAATCACATCGCGAGAAAGAGTAGAATACGAGGCCGAATTTAAGCAAAGTTTAACTTCAATCAGACTAGATTCTCAACTTTGGTACACCTGAAAACCCTTTCAGCTCCTTCAGGGTCCTTAATCACATTCGTGAGTTGTCACCAGGCATCAGTCACATCTGGGGAGAAAACTGAAAAGACCTCGTGGATCAATGGTGGACATCTGCCTGCATTTCTCCTTTTGCTGCCTGCGTTTCTTTTTTGTGGCTTAGAGGATCCCGCTCATATTGCTCTCAAACATGGCTCTTCAAGTCATGGGAGCCTGAGATCACCTGTGTAATACATCCACTTTTTCAGGACCACATAGCCTCATAACAGTTACCAGGGTTCACATTGAAATGGCTCGTGCCTCGATCTCGTTGCGTTCCTGTCCCAGGGCCACAGAAGGTAAGTTTTGGTGATCCACTCACTCCCGCTTACCGACCAATCATACCGCCGGAAAGCCTCTTTCCGAAATGCATATAAATCATTCTAATGTCTACCAAAGTGCCTTCGGGCATTTGGTCAATTTGAAACGATACAGAGAAGATTAGCATGGCCCCTGCACTAAGGATGACACGCTCAATCAAAGAGAAGCTACCAGTTTTTTTTCCTTCACTTACAGACCCCATTTGGAGGTACGAGTGTTAGCCATGGTGATGCAGTATCGCGAGTGCCGCCGTTCGAAACGGACTGCCTTCGCTCTTTTTCTTTCGCACTGTATCGACTTCACAGTTCTACCTACAAGGCCACGGCTCTGCGCCACACGCCAGCCAAGAGCATAAGGATCATTTTACTGCACGCGACCGACTCTTTTATAATATGCATTCTGATTCAGGAAACTATAAATACACGAAGAAGAGATTTCTAATTAACTCTGCAGTTTCAGCGTTGCCTATGCTTTAAGCACCACCCTCCCTCTTGGCATATTCCTCTTCCATACGCTGCTCGTACATCCTATCGGCCTCCTCCTTGCTCATGGCCCGATCGCTCTCCGCATTTTGCATGACATCCGAATTCAGGGCGGTCGAATACTCCAGCGATGTGACCGTGCCGCCGGTGCCTGTACCAAAGACTCGTCCGCTGGCGTTGTCCTCTCTTGTGGATAGGGCGTCTAATGATGCATAGCCGGCGGAGCCAGTAGGTCGAGTTCCGGTCGATGGCTCCTTGCCTTCATTAGAGGGGGGATTTAGGTGAGGCATCTTGGATTTGTGGAGACTGCTTTGCGGTATCCGTATATATTGACACAACAGGAGGAAGGGAGTAGTAGTTCAGATGATTGTAGCCTGTACGTGTGTGATGTAGACTCACTACCCTTGTAGCTGCCAACGATGTGTTTATGTATTCCGTGGTGGATACCAACGGACTGACAGCCAGCTGTGGCGACAACGTCACTCTGTACACTGCTGTGGCTGAGGCGTTTTATTCACTCGCCACTGTACGCTGTGGCGCAGTCTGTTTTCCAGAGGAAAAACAACACAGGCCGCAAGGTCAGAGATTCACCTATCCCAAAGGATAGAGCTCTATTTCGTGGTACGACTACTTCAAATTTGAGTGAGCATTCAAAAATGGCATCTTTACTGATCACATAACCTCCAGGGTAGATATGTACATGCAACTGTGAATAAACTTGTGCCAGGCAAACCACACGCCCTCCTTCAGACAGCGAATCCCACATAGCTCAAAACTACCTTACACTACTTGTGCTCGCCAGAAGAACACACCATATCAGGCCTCTTCTCCACCCTCGAGCCACTGGCCCAAGAACTGATGAAAAGGAAAGTATGATATCCACAAGGTGGAAGGTGCCAAAGAATACGCCTGTCAATGACCCGAAGGCCGTTGAACGGATTGTTCCGCCGCGCTGTGCAATGCAGGGACCAATCCGTGGTGGACCGCCTTCTTGATCGCAGCCACCCAAACAAGGTAAGTATGAAGAAAAGAAAGAAGAAAAAAAATCAAAAGGATGGGGGATCAAGGAGATTTATATATGTTGTGGTGGGGACTGACAAACGCCGCTAGCAGCAAGCGAGGTGCTTCTGGAGCGCTCTGATTCGCCACCAATTTGATGGGCTGAGTCATGGTCAATATTGCAGTCTAAACATTTGATTGACTAAAAACAAATCACATGATATGCTCCGACAACATACATTTACCATACTGTTATATGACGACTTGTGTTGATTTAAGTATTTGGAGAGTGTTACTGCGATAACGCATAGATGACCTCGATGACATTCGGTCCATGCATTAGAGACGGCACTCGGGCGGTCATAGCTGCCCCAAATAATATATGCACATGCATGACTAGAAAAGCGGAATAGCTACAAGACAGGCGACATGCTGCGACGTATGGCTATCAAAGCCATAGTATGTCCGCCCCGAATGCCATGCAGGCTTTCCAAGATCCTACTAGCACCAGATTTCTCCTACTCCGCACTCAGAGCGAGGCATGCGTCGACCGCCAGACCAACCCTGCAGCAACAGCGTCAGCATTGCTTCTCTGCCTTGTGTCATAGAAAAACCAACCTTCCTTCTTTCATCTTGACCACATCGTCAATGACGTCGCGATCAAGATTCGGAAACATGTTCGACAGTGTCTCCACCACGTTATTGTGTTCAGCCCGCTGAATCCTTCGTGCCTCCGCATCCTCGGCGCTAGCTTGACGTGCGGCAGCATCTTGCGCATCCAGTACCCTGGCCAACTGCGGCTGTGCCGCATTACGAGGCCCCTCACTACTGCTACGGGGCGGCTGATATACGTTAGGGGACAGTCGCGGTGGCGCCCCGGCTGTGGGGTGCCGGCAGGCTGTATTGGCCGCTCGTGTGGCGAATCTGGCTCGTCCGAAAAGATCCTTCCGATTGTTGATAAAGGTTTCTGAATAGTGCGCAATAGCCCTGCTACTGGTGCGCTCTCCTCGTCACTCGTTTGCGGCGCCTCTCTCCGCGTCGCAGGTCTTTGTGTATCGGTTGAAACCCGCGATGGAGCTTGGGAGCTTTCCGCCGTAGGACGCTCTCCTCTTTTCGGCTCGAAGGACTCGGACTCGCGATTCTGCTCGGCAATAGCAGACACGGCAGCCTCGACGTTACGCTCAAACTCCTCATCGCTCACTGTCAGACTTGTCCGATCCAAGGTCTCGATAAATTGAATAGCACCTGACTGTTTATGAAATCAGCTACGTTGCCTAAATTATCAGCAAATAATGTTTGATTGACATACCAGTGAAGATAGGTAGTACCCCGCCTCTCCTCCTAACTTATCCTGATTTCGGAAGCGAAGAATGTACTGGATATTGGAAACCAGATGATCGGGGCGAGCTTGTAGCACGACGTAGATTAGCAGTGGTACGAATGAATCCGCTGATGTATCAGCTTGTTTTGAATTTTTGAGCAACCCTGCAAGAGAAATCGGCGTCAGTGCTGCACCTTACACGCTCAAGGATTACTCATTTTGCTGCTCACCGAAGATAACTTTGCAACAATTCAATATGCAAATCACTTTATCACGTGGTGCACGGTAGCCATTGATCTTCAGAAGCTCTTCGTTCAGTGTCAGAAACAGTCCCAGCATAAACGGGCATCGAGACCTACCCTGCTGCGCCAGGTTCAGAAACCGACGGCCGTGAGCGCCCACAGGCGGTATGTCAAGATGCTGCTCTTTCACCCAACCGTAAATCCGCATCTTTTGCGCCAATACATCATCGCGTTCGACATCTTCCTGGTGCTGGCCACGCCTCCATGGCCCATGAAGTCGTTCCATTTCTCTTCGTCTGCTTCTACTTGCACTTCTTGGGATTGAGGGAGGAGCCGGTATAGCGGGGGAGAAGGTCTGCGAATACAATCGATTCATGACTAGCTTCTCCATACCCTCTTTCGCGTTATCGAATTCGCTGTCGGAAACATCCCTCCAAACCTCGCACATGGCCATTTTATTAGTGATGAAGGTCAGGAAGTCGCTAATGATCTTCACTTGCTCATGTACCATCCACTGTCTTTTGCCAAACTCATTAAGGAATGAGCGGAGAAACTTGGCTACAGGATCTGCAGTGCGGTGCCTGAGCTGCTCCAGAAAACGATGAAAATCGAATGGTTGATCGGGCTCAGGTTCTGGCGGAGGCGGAGGAACAGTCGACGTAGAAGATCGTCGAGTCAGTGCTGGATGATCTTCGGAAGCTCTATGGGCGCTCTTCGAAATAGGAGCCGGTGGCTTCTCAACAGCCGAAGGCGTCCCTGCATTCACCTGTGCAGCCTGAGAGCCTCCCTCTGCTGATTTTGAAAGACTCGAATGACGCGGCGGGAAATGACCCTGGCCTCCAAGAAATTGTTCAGCCAGCTCCAAACGAGGAGACATCAACTGCTCCTGGCTGCCCCTGCGTTCAGGGTCCTGAAACTGACCCATGATGCTCTGAATCTCGGATTCAGAGTCATCCTCTCGAGTACCATCCATGCCAGCGTCCCGTTTATTTTCCTTCTCTCCGTCACCCGGTACATGCGGTAGCTCTTTCTCGCTCAATTCAGAAGTCGCATTCACGGACGTCTGCAGGGGCGGTGCAAGCTGGGATTTCGTACTAAGATAGGTTTCGTCTTTTTCTGGGGGAGGCGGGGGCACATCGCTGTCTACTAATGAACCGGTTTCTGTTGTATTCGTCGAGACCGACAATCCTTCCATACGCGCTGACAACGTCCCCTGGGGTTCGGATGTAGATTTTGAGGAAACTGGAGCGAATTTCTCCGACATCATGTTTGGCGAGTCAAACGCAGAGGTCGGACATCCATCTCGAGGAATCTCCTTCCTCTCACCCAACTGGTCTTCCTGATATGGATCTTCGTGTGTTGCTGAGGGTCATTATGCGCCGACACCGATGATGTCGCTTGCTGTTGATTCGATTCTATTTGATCGTCGTGGATATCCCACTGAGAATCCGGTCGTCCATCCGGAGCCGGGGTCGTGGAAATCGCTTGTTCAGACATAAGCAACCTGCATGCACGCCGGCAATCAATGTAGAAGCTCGGTCACTCGGTGGGGAAGGAGGGAGATTCAGACGAGGTAACGGATCATTATGAGGAATATCCAGCACACAGCGGTCGAGCTTAAAAGCAGCAAGGAAAAATCATTCAAACAACAATGGGATATTTCAAAGTAGCAAATGTCTATTTAACCTAGGACCGGGCATGAAACAACGTCGATCGGACCCATGTTAGGCAGCGTGGAGTATTCGGTTATCACCACCTGCCACGAAGCTATGTGGATCATCGTTGCCCCGAGATCCGGCCGCCGAGGAAACATAACACCGAGGTTGACTTTCTTCAATTTATCTTCTTTTGCCTTCTGGTCGCCGGAAGCAGGATTTTGCTATATTGTATTTGCAGCCACTGTGCTGCAATGTGTGGCATTTATTTCTCATTAAGCACTAATGGGCCAGTGCTGCCAAATGAGGAGACTTGCAATCTGCTGCGCAACCGGGGCCCGACAGCTACGAAGTCCATACAAGACAATATGAATTGTCTTTGAGTCATACGGGCCAGACAAGGGTGACTGTCACGCTCACATTCATCTCCACGGTGCTTTCATTGAGAGGAGATCATGTCTATGCCCAGCCACTCGTGGATTCGTCTACGGAATCCGTGCTCTGCTGGAATGGCGAAGCCTGGAAGATAGCTGGCGAGCCTATCCAAGATAATGATACTGAGTCCATTTTCCAGTCGTTCCTGCGCGCTACGCATTCGTCGTTGGACGCTGTTGATCATGGAGATCCCACACGGAAAATAGCGGGTGTCATAAGCAACATTGCAGGGCCCTTTTCCTTTGTTTTCTATGATGCAGTGAACTCAAGGCTATATTACAGTAGGGACTGCCTCGGCCGACGGTCCTTGTTGCAAGGTCTAGACGAGCGTGGAAATCTGAGAATTTGCAGTGTCTGCGATAGTTCTTCGTCGTCACATTTCGAGGAAGTTGACACAGATGGTGTGCATTTTATTGACTTTAAACAAGACGTACTGCAGAATGCTCTTGTATCCGGTGCCGTCAAATTCAATTCTGACGCCATCCAAACTCTTCGCTGGGAGCATAAAGATGCAACGACCAGCTGCCTGGTATACACTCTTTCTCCTCCTCCATCAGCACAATCGCTGACAGAAGGGATAGAAAAGTCCAATATCACACATGAACAAATCAGTTCCGAATGGGACGCCCCCGTCATTGACGGTCGACTCTTGCCCCATCCAAGAGCTTGAGCGGAAACTTAGACAATCTTTACACCTTAGAATTCAAAAGGTACCCGAACCACCATCAATTACTATTAGCGATGTGAAGGTTGCCGTTCTGTTCTCTGGTGGCCTTGATTGCACTCTACTTGCCAGACTGTCCCATGACAGACTTCCCAAAAGTGAGACGATTGATCTTCTCAACGTTGCTTTCGAGAACCCGCGAGTCGCTGCCGCAGCTGCTGGCAAGGAGGGCGCCACATCATCAGTCTACGAAAGCTGTCCAGATCGCATTACGGGTCGCGCAGCATTCGCAGAACTTCAGAGAGTCTGCCCAGACCGTAACTGGCGCCTCGTCGCGATTGATATACCCTACACTGAAACTGTCGCCCACCGTGATATGGTGAAGCGCTTGATGAGACCTCACAATACAGAGATGGACCTGTCGATTGCGTGCGCGCTGTACTTTGCTTCTCGCGCGCGAGGCATGGCCGTCAATAGTCGGGATTCCTCGTCCGAACCGACCCAGTACACCAGCCCAGCGAGAGTACTTCTCTCCGGCCTGGGAGCAGATGAACTGTTCGCGGGCTACGCGCGACACGGAGTAGCGTTCGCCCGCGATGGCTTTAGAGGTCTCATTGACGAAATCCATCTGGATGTCAGTCGTCTCGGCAAGCGAAATCTCGGCCGCGATGATCGGATCCTCTCAAACTGGGGTCGCGAGGCGCGATACCCGTTCTTAGATGAAGACTTCGTGTCTTACGTGCTCGAAGCCCCCGTATGGGAGAAATGTGGCTTCGGGGTCCCAGACCCATCAGATATCACCGGTGTGGATTATACCGGCATCGACCCAGAGAAGAGAGCGCTCCGCCTCCTGGCCCTCAAGCTGGGCATGGCTACCGTCGCTCGGGAAAAGAAACGAGCAATCCAATTCGGCTCCCGGACAGCAAAGATGGAAAAGGGTAGAACCAAAGGAACCGACGCACTGAGCTGAATACAACAGTCCTGTCCTCGACCACACCATTTACCAATCCCATGTCACCCCTGCGCATGACATGACCAGCTGTGATGACGAAACACTGATCAGATACTTCCGAGACCGCCTCCTCTGTCCCTTTCTCTCAGCCTTTCATTTCCCATCATTCCCCTGTCGTGCAATCTACCATATAGAGCAGACACTCCCTCTCTACCGCTCGTTTCATCGCAAGCCACTCATTCCGAGAATGTAGTCCTCCCGCTATGGGCCTGATTGTATACTTGGTTGGGCGTGTTTATGAGAAACGAGACTGGAAGACCGGGTACTGGTGTCACTTGTGTTCCTTGTGGTATGCCAGGGTATGGATGATGCGGCGATGGCAGGTTTCCGAGAATCAAGAGGTCGAGTCGATGACGGGTTAGAAAGGCAAGTCTGAGCTGAGTCGAGCAGGATTAATGATAATCATTTAACCTCGTAGTCTTTTTTAAGATCCTCTGCAATTCGTAGGCAGTAAATTCAACCATCGTCAGTATTGGTACTCTTCACGGTGTAGCTGGTGAAGATGCCCGTACGCTGAAGATGGAGGTGACCTGCTACGAGCGAGAAACAGCTACGCTGGAAAAAGAATAGAGAGCGACATAGTTGAATTCAATTTGGCAAAGACAGTCTCTGGTTAAAACGCAGGACATATTGAAACAGAAAGCCACGTCGACAAAACTCGCATTCATGGAATTGAGCGACTGACAGGGCAATAGCAAGGAAAAGTATTAATTGGCCACGAGTCAATCCTGCTTGACAGGAGACATCAGAACCGACCATGAAGTAAAAAGAAACATAAAGAAACAGAAAACAGCACCCTAGATGAGGACTAGGATGTCTGCAACAAGTAAGCCAAGCGAAGAGTACCCGAAATGATAGAAACGAGATGGTGTTTCAATTGCCCACCATTCAGGTATCAAGTAAAGAAAACTTTTATCCTGCCAGAAGCGTCATCGTCAGGTAACCATCCTGCGGAGACTGACTGGTACTTCTGGCATTCGGTTGACGAGGGGCTCGAGCCCCCGCCACCACAGATCCCATTTTGCACGTCCCAATTTTAGAAGCCAACGAAGAGAAAAGCAGCAAACAAAGAAACAAACAAGATACCACAAACGCAGCATGTCATCAAGATAAGCTATCGATCATCGTTCAACCCCTGTTTTGGGCAAGGGCCTTCCAGTACTGTTCACGCTGCTGAGCTTCTTCCAGAGACTTCTCGAGCTCACGGATGCGTCGCTCCATCTCATCCTGGCGTTCAAGCTTGCGAGCACGAGACTTACGAGCAGCCTCGGTATTGCGAGCACGCTTCAAGGCGACAGGGTCGCTGGGGTCAACCTTGATGGGGGCAATGGCTTGCGTTGACGGGCATTGACACCGGCGACGGTGGAGTGCTTAACACCGGACTTGCTGGGCGCAGGAGAAGGGGCGGGCGAAGCAGAGTCGCGGACCGCAGGAGACGGAGGAACAGAGACCTCCTTTGGGAGCTTAGTCTCCGGCTGGGAGAGAGCGAGTGCAACATCCAAGGCGGTGGAGTCGAAGGCCGTGGAGAAGTCATCTTGAGCAGGGAAGAGCGGACCCCACTCCTCGGAGCCAGGGCCCAGCTCCAGATCGGTGGGGAACATGGGTGAAGTATCCTGGCTGAAATAGCCAGGAGACTCAAAGGAAGGAGTGCTGAGATCAGTGAACGAGGTCGACGGGGGTGCCGATGCATCCATGAACAAGTCTTTGGGCGAGATGGTGCCCGAAGGGGCACCTGCCACAGAGTCCTTGACAGCCATGAGGCCAGTGGGGATCTGATTGGGAGAAAGCATGGTGGGTTCAGTGCTCAACTCGAAATCATCCCCAAAGTCATTCGAGGGCAGGCCAAAGAAGTCAGGCATATCTGCTGCGGAATTAGACATAGTTGAAACGAGTATAGTTTCTGCCAGCTCACCTTGAGCGATGTTGGGGGTCGACATGATGCGGCGGTGATAAAACTGTTGTAATTGCTGTAGCTGTTTTTGACTGAATTGAGTGCCGTTGGCTGCTGAAAACAATGGAACAGGAGGACGATTGGGATTTGGTGAATTCGAAGGCGCAGACGCGGCGTGGACACGCTGAAAGTGCGTCCGGCTGGAGGGACTAGACCGAAGAGACGAGGACAGATGATACCCGGTAGACTGTGAGTGAAGCCTGGTCACACGAGGAACCTGGACAGGTGAACCCGAAAGTTTCTGTTGCTGAAGTTGCTGATACAGACTGAGCGAGTGCCGTCTGGGCTGCTGGTACTGAGGTCGGACCAGGAAAGGATTGTATGAAACAGATCTAGGGGCTGTACTCGGAAGTACTGGCGCACGCGAGTCTCTCAAACGAGGCTGCGGACACGGGGCGGGATAGAGCACAAAGTCCTCCTGCGGGGAACTGTTGCTGTCGTTGTTGGAATTCGAATTCAGATTCTGAGCCGAAGGCTGCTGGGGCGGGGCGTGGGGAGCCATGTTTGCTGTTGGTTATCCGTGGTGAACGACGTGAAGTCGAACGGGAGAATGTTGTTCAAAGAAGAACTTGAGCTACGCGAAGCGATGCTTAAGTTCAGAGGTCCTGGGACAGGAGACTCTGAGGAAGGTTGAGAGGAGATGTTGGAAAGTGACGAAGACCGTAAAGGATCTATGGTGTCTGTCTCACGAGAGAAAGACGAGCTCGTTCTGGGGGAGGAGCTTAGAAGGCAGCCATTTTGCAATGGATACTGAGACTGATATTCTTGATAATTGTGTGGTTGTATGGTGAAGATGTTTATAAAATATAGGTGATGATGGTTTGAGAGGAAGAAAAGATGGAGGAGAAAAGGAAAAGGGAAAAGCAAAGCGCCAGGCAGCGACGGGAAATCAGGCACTTCTTAAAACCCTCGAGTGTGCTAGTTTAACCTGTCTGTGTGCGCCGTGCGTTTCCACCGGCGGCCAATGGCTGCGCAACAATGTCCCACTTCATGCACTAACTGTGTCGGGATAGCGCTCCTGGACGCAGTCAGCAGGTGTGAGTCATAGGACCATGTGCTGCGATGATTGGTCCGTCTAGCCCGCGGGAACACGCCCCAGGGCGGCATTCCTGTGCAGGTAGGTAAGGTACTTTCCGGTACGTACCTGTCGAGCAGAGTGCACCATAAAGATCCCTTCAATTGAATTCAATTGACATAATTATTTGAGACCCTCGGACAGATATCTATCTTACGTGCAAAGAGGATGAGCATCACTGAAATCCATCACTGATAATTGACAGTAGTACTGGAATGACGCTTCCATGATCTGGTCCCCTAATACGGAGCGCCATCCCTGCTCCGCCGCGTACTCGGTACCAGGCAAGAGGTACCTCTTCACGACCCATTGACCAATAACATGGCGCAACATCGCATCCAGAACCCAGGCATCAATTCCACGACAGCACTAAGAAAGCCGGTTTCATCACAGCCTCCCTTGAATGTCTCATTAATATTACATTGGGTGAATCCACGCAAGCCAGCAGCTTCGTGTCCATCATATAAAGCCAATTTCAACTTAGCCACGGACCCAGACACCTATCAACTCCACACTCCAGATGGCATATGCAGGCCGTTAATCAGCAAGTCACAAGGGACGCGGAGGGGGCTGAGTGCTCATGCCTGGCAGCCTGGTGGCCTGGGAGCCTCATGTCTCAGCACGCCATGGCCAGATAAACCAATCAGACCAGTACACAATAAAATGGATTAATAAGGGAGCTGCGGGAAAAAGACAAAAAAACAGGAAAACCGGGGATCCGGCGGGTTATTCCACTCATATCACTTTCCCTTTTCTCTCCCCGCCCATTGCCCATTTGGGCGTTGGTGTCACCAAAGGGCGTGGACTTCGCTTTACTATCTCCGAAGTCCAAACTCTATCAGCTCGCACAATCTTTTTCAGTAGTACGATAGTATTTTCCCAGGCTCTCAAAGGACAAGTGGCTCGACAGTTTTGGGAGGAAAGGACAGTTGTCTGCACCTTATATACTCGTACCAACTTTCTGGCCTTGGGAAAGTACCATACATATCCCCTACTCGGTACCAGGCTCCTACGACCCTTTCATCAAGGAGGGTCAGATTCTCACTAAGCGAAGCCAAACAGTCTAGAATAACCCTCGGGTCAATCGCGTCCAATGTCCACATTCTGCACCTTGCGGAAGTCCACTTCTGCAGTCCACGACCCATGCACGAATGAACCTACGGATCCTCCCTACCGGGAATCGCCGTAGAAGTCGGCAACACTCGCCAACATTTTGTTCGCTTGACCGTTTTCGATGTCACCTGGCTTTGTAGACAGGAGGTTGTATGAATCCTGTGTGTAGATTAATAATCAAAGAAAAGGCGCTGCTTCAGTGATGTCATGTCCAAGGCGCACGGTCAGGAGACTATCGAAAATACTCCGTACAATTGAGTTTGAACCCTCAAGCCTCGTCGACTCCTTGAGAAAGGACGGAATGTTCTCTACGCCATCCATGGCCCCTTGACCAACAACTGAGCCCCATAGACAGAAAAACTTAGTCGGCCTGCTCAGAAGTTCGGGAGCAGGGCTCGGAGCACCTTGGATCCATAGGATACTTCTCACATGCAAATTCAGGATCGATTTGTCGAGACCAAAGTCTACTAGAAACTGCCAAAATCATACAAACGCATTATTGATTCTATTAATTATTACTATGATGCGGTGCGCAAGTATACATGGCGTACACGCTCCAAGCAAACAGTCAACAATCGGGCTCGATTTGAGTTGAAGCCACCAAATCCAGTCCTCCCCTTCGGGTATCAACACAAAATATCAAACTAGTGATCGTAGATCAACCAACAACATCAAAAGCAAGACAGCAAGTGGTATCAATCTAGTTGCACGGCGCAAAACATGAACACACGCAAGCCTCGGTTGGGATAAACCTGCGCGAATGGATATCATTAAGGAACGAAATGCACCGGTGACGTCGACGCAGTGAGAAATGACCGCCAAAGCAGCATGTGGGTATCATTGACATTCCTTGCACCAAATCCTTCTTAGACTTGGCCAAGGAGTGCCTGCGGAAACGATATAGAGCGATTCGAAGACAGCAAAAAAAAAAAGAGCAGACCGGGTCCAGATCGACATATATGTTTTTTGGAAATGTTTTTTTTTCGTGGTTTTTCTCTCAGCACTTTTTCGTTTTCCGTCATGGTAATGATTCAACAGCATGCAGAGGCGTTGGGAGACGTAGAAAGTTGATCCCACCATTTCTCAAACTCGACGGCACGCCTCTGAGAATGAGCACTTCATGCCGCAGCCTGGACAGGAGTCGAGGTCGCAGCGACAGTCGCAGGCTTGGCCTCCTCGGTGGCGGGAGCCTCAGCGGGCTTGCTGGCTTCCTCGGCGGGAGCAGCCTCAGCGGAAGTCTCCTGAGCGGTGGGCTCAGCCTTGTCCTCCTCCTTGGCAGAGGCTTCCTTGTTGTCGAGCTTCACGGCCTTGCTGGGCTTGCGGAAAAGACCGCCGAGCTTGTTGCTCTTGGCCTTGGCCTCGCCGTCGGTGCCCTCATTGTCAGAGTCACCCTTCTTCTTGCCGAAGTTACCGAAGAAAGAGGTGCGACGCTTGTCCTTGCCGGCAGGAGTCTCGGCAGTGGGGGACTGAGCGGCAGTCTCCTTGGGGCCTCGGCCTCAGTGGCAGCGGCGGCGGTGGTCACGGTCTCAGGCTCGATGGGCTTCACGGCAGCCTCCTCGACGGGGTTCTCGAGCTGGGGGCAGTGCTGGAGACAGCGGAGGTCTCAGCAGGAGCCGCAGCCTCCTTCTCGGACTTCTCGTGGGAAGGGCTGGTAACCTTCTGGAAGAAGTTACCGAACAGAGAGGTACGCTTGGACTTAGGAGCAGGGCTCTCGGCCTTCTTCTCCTCCTTCTTTGCCTCTGTCTCCTCCTTTTTCTCTTCGGCAGGAGCAGGAGCGGCAGCTTGACGACAGTCAGCTTTCGGCTTCGGGACAGATTTTGAATATTGATGAAACTTACCCTCAGTAGCTTCAGCAGTAGCGGTCTCGGCGACAGGCTCGGCGGCGGCGGCTTCGACGGGCTTGGCGTCCTCGGTCTTCTCTTCCTTCTTCTCCTCAGTCTCCTCCTTCTTGCCGAGGAAGGAGCCGAAGATGCTGGCCCTCTTGCGAGACTGAGAGCGGCTCTTGGCCTTGTCCTTGGCCTCAGTGGTCTCCTTGGCCTCCTCAACAGGAGCAGCCTCTTCCTTCTTGGCCTCCTCCTTAGCCTCAACGGGCTTCTTGGCGGGCTCAGCAACAACAGGCTTGGCTGCAAGATAATTAGAATTGATCCGTATTTAGCAACTCGATCCAATATCACTTACTCAGCTTCTCGAGCTCAGCCTTGTAGCCCTCGCTGGCAACGATGGTCTCCTTTTCAGCCTTGGCCTCAGCGGCCTTGGCTTCCAGAGCAACAAACCAGCTGTCACGCTCAGCAGCGTTAGCAGCCTGGAAAGTATGCTTCTGGCCGTTAACCTTGAAGAGGAATTCGTTGGCGCCCTCCTTGGCAAGGTCGGAGATCTCAGCCTAAGACGTATTAGCATGAATAACCACGCTATGTCTCACGAAGGAAAAAAGTAAAAAAAAAAAATTGCTTACCAAGTTGAAGATACCAGCGGGGGTAGCCTTATCCTCGGCGCGCTTGGTCAGGAACAGGAGACCCTTGCCGGTCTGGGTAGCCCAGGCGACGATAGGGTTGGCGACAGCAGGCTTCTCGTTCTGCTGGAAGACGGACAGTTGCTTGGCCTCGACGGGCTCGTCGCTGAAGTAGAAGAACCGCTTGGAGAAACGCAGACCCCTATTAACAAAAAGGAACAAGTTAGCAATCGATCCACATTACTGTCCCAAGGCTCGCGTAGCGCTTACTTCACCAGACCAGGACCCTTGTGTCCAAGCACACCTTCAGTCGCAGGAGTGATTTCCTCCTTGGCCTCCTCCTTGGGCTGCTCGGCAGTCGCTTCGCTGGTCTCAGCCGCAGCGGGAGTGGCCTCGGCGTTCTCAACGGGGGTTTCCTTGGAGGCCTCAGCAGCGGGAGTCTCAGTTGCAGCGGCCTCGACGGCAGCAGGAGCTTCGACGACGGGCTCAGCGGCAGGGACGGCCACGGGGTCTCCTCAACAGGCTTCTGGACTTCGGACATGGTGATGATGGTTGATTAAGATGTTATTATGGTAGGGAGTTTGATTAAGTAGCCGTTAGAGAAGCTGTAAGCGCTTCGGGTATCAAGGGCGAGTATGGGTATCTCAAGGGGGTATCTCAAAAGAAAGGAAACAGGAGCTCTCTCAGCACAAGGCGAAGAATAGCTCGGGTATCACAAGGGAAGAATGGGTAGAAAAGTTCGTGGGAAACGAACAAAAGCGTGATAGCTTAGTTATCAGGAATGGAATGGAGAGGAGAAGAAGAGAAGAAAGAAAAGAGAGGGAGGGAGAGGAAGGAGGAAAAAAAGGAACGAGAGAAAGAAAAAGAAGGAGAAGGGGATGAAGGAGGGGGGTGAGTGGATGCAGCCTGGGTTGATGGTGCATCAGCCCAGAAGGGCAATGAGCTGCAGGGCGGTCCTCCTCACTATGGCCTGACTAGGTCTAGCCAGAGCAGAAGGACGGTAATGATAGACATGGTTTATTGGTTAATTTGGTTACTATGGTACAAAGCAGTCCGTCCTTTGGGTGAAATTTTTCTTGTTTGTCTTGGGATTCGGGAGCAGTTGATACCTGATACTTTGGTACACTTAGGGGTGGCTCCATCTACTCGTATACCCTTCTCTAGTTGGGCCCATCAGAGCTCCAGTTGCGGTTCTCAGGAGTACACACCTCTATAGAGATGATTAATATCAAAAGCTGGATGGTCTTATCCTTCCACAAGGGACCCATGACTGGGTTGTTTAACCTTTCGGGAAGCTTTATTGTATGTTTTGAATGCGCTGCAGGTGCCCAAGACTTCTGACCAACCCAAGGTCAATCCATTATTATGAAGGTAATTTGGCTAAGAGTACTCGTGAAAATTCTTCTTGGTTATCTTTTATCTATCTACCTCCTTTTTCGCCGCCATGATCCTCTGCTAATAAAGTCAAAAAAAGGAGGAATAATGAAACAGTGGTGTAGTTAAGGTGCTAAGGAGCACACTATGATAGCTAGTCCTTCAGACTAACTACTAAGGTCGCTTTCCGACTACGTATGTGGATAGCTTTGTGATCAACTCAAGGAGCTCCCCTACCGGTCGTGCAGATAGATAGGTCGATATTAAACAGCTCTAGACTACCTACAGAGTAACTAGGCCTTTCGCTTGGGCGGACCCATTCCGAACTGATCCACTAATTGTCCCTAAATTTTTGGCCCGATTCCAACTTAATTTTGGTCGGCTTTAGCGTCATTTAGCGACATTCTGCGAATTGTGATGATGCAAAAATCCTTCAACTTGCAACTGGAGAGTGTGAGTACTCTGTTACATGCCCATAGGTACCGTACCTATGGTGTTGTAGTTGATCCCACAAAATTGAGCCCCAATAGCAATGTCGGTGGCATCATGAATAAATTCTTTGAATGGCAGATTGATGCGATCAACAATCATGTCACCTGGCCCGTCAACCGTCGCTCATCTGTTTGTGGGACGCCAGCCACCGCTGGATCCTTTTTGATCCATGGGTCTTCTTTCAGATCGTCCTGAGAATTGTGAGACGCTAACTACATGATCATATGGTCTGGTAGTACAGATAACTCTTCCAACATCTGTGAATTGTCAAGACATCCTCCAGTGTAGAGGAATACAGGAGATATGGAGGTAAAAAGAAAAGAATAAAAGTCTCACTACCCTCATTCATCTCTCAATACCTCCATATTCTCACTTCAAATGGTCCAAATCCTTGCGACAAACAGCAAGCCAACTACCAAAAGTAGCACCCCCTGACAGGCTGACACAACCACACCCACCGACTCTCACCCTGTCCTTGCAGGATCCACCTCAAACGCTCTGCATTTTCGCCAGAGAACCTGCACTCTGCATTATTTCCGATTCAAGGAGGCGATTGGAATTGAAACCCGCCGCCACCTTGTATTCTAACTCTGCAAATCAGAAGCAGCGTCCTTGGTTTGTCGTCGCACCGCGCATTTTGGAACATTCTGGTTACCTGCGCTGCTGCGGCTTTCCAATCATTATCCATCTAGCCTACCTTGAGAGGTGCGACAAAGTGAAAATCAGTGGGTGAGTTGAAGGGAGAGTCCACGCGACTGCAGCCCCGTGACTCCTGGCTGCGATCTTCCCGATTGACCAACCACAACACGTTGACACCCTCCATGATCCATCCCATGTCGTGTGTGGATTGCACATGCTATTCCATTTACCTACCTTAGCAGTTTAAATCGTGCCTGTCAACTACCTACGGGAGTACAAGTAGTCGTAAATACCAATGAGAGCCCAACGTGGTGAGGTACCTAATCTCCGTCGCTTTTTTGTATAGGGAAAATAAAAAGGGGAGAGTGGATCAGGAACCAGTAAAGCGAAAGCGAAAACGAAAAAATTTCAGTAGCCCTAGCTCCAGGTCTATACCAACTGCCCGAAACAGGAAATTTAGTTGACTTCCAGTTCCCGCCATACGGAGTACCTTAGCATACCGACCTTAGTCCTTAGGTACTGTAGTCTGTGTCAGGCAAAAAGAGCCCCACTGCGTAACCCGCTCTCTCTCGAGTCGCAAGTAGGCAACCTATCACATTTCCAAACTCGCTTCGCGTCGCTTAAAGGTACCTTGCCTACCTTACGCTACCAGGCCAGCCCTATATTAGCATGACCCTGCATTTTCCGATGGCGTACCGGTTCCACGCTTGGCTGGTCCGCTGGTGACGTCGAGATGTTGACTCAATATGCACTGAAATACGAGTACGGATATTTAATTATCGACCTTGGGAGTCACGGGGTGAGACCAGAGCCGGTGAGACTGAAGAGAGACAATCAAGATCTACGCGCTCTTGGCCGTTTCGAACCGTTTTCTCTGTCGCTAACGTAGTCGCCAGCTACCAGTCACAATCTCCGACCAGGCGACGGGCCAATCATGCCACTACAGCCCACTGTCGATCCTTGCACATCTGATGATCGCTGCTTGTCCTGTTAGCACTTGGCTGCTTTTGACCAGTTGTTCGCCGACCTCCGTATCTATGGTGTAGGCAGTTCTATCCTGAATTCGCAGATCAGGGATAGAAGAGTAGTGAGCTCCGTACATCTAAGGATATGTAGACGCCAGTGCTGGATGCAGCAATCAAATGCGTAGCAGACGACTACCTACATACGCAGGACCTCATTAACCCCTCAGTCATGCGGTCTTGCCATGCATCGCATCATCTTGCATCAGAATACAGAAAATGACGGCAACGATGGCATCAAAGCCGTCAAGGCATGCATCAGTTTAGTTCACTGTTCACTCCTGCGTGGCAATACATCTCTATGGGCTTTAGAGTTCGGTCTTCAAGCAGAAATCACATTATCTACAGAGCCAGGAAATCCAGTATACATGAAATAAAGCTAATGCGAGTATTCAAAGACTCAGATGACCGCCAATGCGAAATATGCAACGCCCAATTGCTTCATCCAATAACAGCGATATGTAAAAAAAGAATATGGTGATCAAGCTGCCATCGTCAAGACATACCTAGTATACCAGATTAGTTATTGTTGCAGGCCATGTTTGAGGCCATGTTGTAAAGCCAAGGTACTTACGATGTGATGCTGTCCATTCTCTCACTCGTCAATTTCAAGCTCACCGTCAACAGTTCCTGCGCGATCTCGGGCTCTTCCTCCTTCAACTGCTTCCATTTGTCGGCATTCAGACACCAGGCCACGCAGTCCTGTTCCGCCTTGACCGTCGCAGTCCGGCGAGTTTCGCTGAAGAACGGCAGCTCGCCACAGGGCCGTCCCGCAACGATCAGTTCGAAATAATGGCCCTGAGGCAGCTCATATTCAGCTCGCAGCATTCCCGACTCGAGCAGGTAAAATCCCTCGGGTAAGTCTCCCTCCTGGAACAGCACGGTGCCCGCAGCATAGCAGACTCGCTCAAAATACGGGCATGCCCTGAACCAAAAATCCTCGTTCTTGGTGGTGAGCCCCTGGAGAGTCTGCAGGAGCAAAGGGAGCGGTTGGCGCATCGCCGACCAGGCAACCGAGGCCATTGCTGCCGTCTCCTCCTCGCGCAGAGTAGTGGTAGCAGCTTGCTGGAGGTACAGCCGGCGGGGAGAGCCAACAATTCCTTCAGCGGCCTGCAATTGGTTCTGGGACACAGGAACTTCAAGATGAGGTGACGATCCGCTCTTCTTCCGTATCAATGCCTCGCGATGGTTGTAGAAGACCTTGAGGTAATCGTTCTCGCAAAATTCAAGGGCCGAATTGAGGTCCTTGAAAATCTCAACGCCGGTCTCGCTTGCAAGAAGCCCAACGTTCTGAAGACTCTTCCCCACCTCACTCGTCATATCAAGCCCGGATATAGTCATCTGCACATTGCGTCTCCGGAGAATCCGGTTTATACGCGTGAACGCCTCTGCCGCGGAAAAGTCCAGGCCGTACACTCGCGAGAAATCCAGGATGACAAACCGGATAGGTCGTCTGTCAAAAGCTTCCTCTTCAATGAGTGCCCGCATGGCACTTTCAACGCTGACTATCGTCCCAAAGAATAGATAGCCAGCAAGCTTGAGGATAAGCGTCTGCTGCCCTGCCTCTTTTAAGAATCGCTGCTGAATGGGAGGTCTCCTGACAGTCGAGCCTGTAATCTTGCCAGAAAAGGTAGCCCTGATGGCTGACTTGCGTGAGGTTTGCACCACAAAACTCACACATGCCAAGATGATTCCGACAAAGATGCCAACCACAAAGTCCCAAGCACCCATGGTGACGACGATAATGACGACCTGTACGAATCAGAGGGCGGCTCCTTGAAGAGATAGGACTTTCTTACTGTCAAGTATTCTAGTCGGTGCAATTTCCCCCACGTGTCGACCAAAGCTTCTTCCATCAGCTCAATGCCCAGCATGAAGATGAGAGCTCCAACGACCATGACGGGAATAAATCCAATAATCACGGGACCAACGACAAGAACACCCATTGTAGCAAAGGCAAGCATGATACCTGCCAGTCGAGAATTGCCACCGCTGGCGATGAAAAGAAGACTATTAGTGTATACAAGGTAGTTCTAGAGCTGCATGAGTATATGAAACGAACGATGTCCCTTGAATTGCTCAACCATACCTGTATGCTTCCTGCGAAACCTGACAGTGCATTAGTAATGCCATGAGCGATGAGCTCACGATCAACACTGAGATTGTCCTCCCCAGTCGATATACCCAGTGCCGGTACATTTATTGGGACGTGAAGGACTCCGAAGAACGTCAATGCAAACATCGCTGGAATTGTATCAACGAATGCGGGCCAGTCGACGGCCGAGAAATCTGTAAAACGTCAATTCATGCTTGGCTGGAATAGCCCGAAGGTAACCCACCATAGAGCGTATAAAAGTGATACCAAGGGTTGGAAGACGACGGAGCGTCAAAGACCCATCCCCTGCTACGCAAGGTATCCATAGACACTCTCGCGCCGAATTTGACGATATAGAAAACCACAGCTACCGCAATGAAATAACCACCGACTAGGAAATTGGACCGCACAAAGCGCTTCAAAACAAGAAAAGCAATCGCAAGTAACAAGGGTATCATCCAAAGCAGTAGTGTATCCATATGAAAAAGCTTCTGCAGGGTCGGTGCGTTAAGCTCGAGAGACCCGGATAGCCGAGCAGATACCTCGACACCGGTCTGCATCAGAAAGAATCCTACACCACCAATGCATCCAATTAAAATATGACGCGGGAAGAACCCAATGAGAGAACCAAGCTTGCACGTTCCCATCAGGAAAAAGACAAGCCCCGTAAGAACCGAGCTGGCGGAGAATGCGAGGATGGTTGTGGCGAGGACCGATTTCGGATTGTCCTCGCCAACCCGAACCAGAATTGTCATGGCCATTTTGTGAAAGAATGGAACAACCTCGATCATCTCACTCCCGATACCGCCACGGAAGATTGACCCTCCGCATGAAAAGACCAGCTGAGCAATGACTGTGCTGACATAAAACATCGAGATTCCGTCTGACCCCAGCTCAGAGAAGATAGGCTCTCCCAGTGGAAACAGGATCATCCCGTAGGAGAGCGCGTCGAGGATATTCAGCAGGAGCCCGAGGAACACAGAAGGTAGCAGGCTGGCGGGATAAACCACCCCCTGCTGCCATACTGCTCTCCCATCCCAGGACTTCGGGCTTGCTATCAGACGAAGACAGCTTCTGATCGTCGCTAGACCGCGAGGCTGTCCGCCCTGCTCGCGCTCTCTCGGTAAGTCCTGGCTTTCAATATCGTCTGCAACACCATATCCATGGAATGGTTTAGATTGTGCCGTTTTATTCAGCAACGAGGTCCGTTCGGTGCTTGTGTTCTCTTCTCCTTCGCCATCATTAAACAAGAGCCTCGGGTTTTCCACACCAGTCGCGTCGTTTGGGCGCAGCTTACTTCCGTAGTGGTCGGTGTCGTCCCCGACCGATTCAGAGGGAGGACTGCGAATCATCTGAGTCAATACCGAGGAGCTGGTGGCAGGAGCGTGGATGGGCTCCGGTTCGACAATGGTCAGATCCCCTGGAGTGCCGTTGTAGCTGGACGAGGGTGCGGCGACAACAGTCTGTTGGTTCGATTGAAAGATATCCAGGCCTCGCGGATGAGAGCTCCGTTCGTGAGGAAGCGACAGCGCAAACGATGCTAATTCAGCTGTTTGTTCTCTCAAACCTTCCGATGAATAGTGTGCCGGATCTAGACAGCCAGTTAGGACATTTGAACCCCTCACAGAATCTCTGATTATCGTACCCTGAGAACCTTTGAAGGACCGATGGTAGAATGACCGAGTCGGAGTCCTGAAGCTCGACCCGCCGTGAATAGAAGGCTCGAGTCCTGAAGTGTCCGGAGTGCTGCCATGATTGGCCCGTTCGATCGGTATTTCTATCACATTTGGGACAGTTGTGTTGACCAAAGATGGGCGACGGGGTAAAAATCCTGACGCACGAGAATCACTGCGGTCTCGACGTCCGATGACGCCCATCGCGAACCCGAGCTGTTATTGCCTGCGACACAGACAACCCGTTTATAGAAACGAGGAATAACGGGATAAATTGAGGCGAGATGTTAAGCTCCTTTCTCCGTGTGCGTGCCGCACCCCAACGGCCGCAGACCAGCAGATGGGTGGGAACCCGAATGACGCAAGAATCAAGGCACAAGGAGCAATCGTCTTTTGATTACCACACAACTGGGGGGAGGAGAAGGTCTACAAAAACCCGATGCATGAGGAAGTGAGTATGACCAATGGGGTCTTGAAAGCGACCAAGTGTCATTGGGAGGAATCATTCCATATCAAAACTCCAAGGCCAGAAGCTGCCCGGCGTTATCAATCCTGGTCCGTGAGTTGACTAAAAAAGTCTTTATCACCAGCCGTTATCATCGTCTCCGCTGGGGCCGCTTTACCGCATTCTGGCAATTGTGGATCAGGAACTTTGAGTAGTTCCTGGAATTGATTACCGCACGGATAGTGTCGTTATTATTATTGAGTAATCGCCTCCTGCAGCTGGTGGGACAAGAGTTGGAACTTGAAAGTTGGGCAGAAACAATCTGAAATTGATTAATGATGTAGTATGATCGCCGTGATTGATCAATGCACAAGGACGGAATATGCATGCAAGCTTAGTCTGTCTTTGCTTCTTTGGACATACGAGCGGATCAATTGCAGTACTTGTTTACGGAGTAAGTGGAAGCTACCATCAGCTACTCGATATGACAGCGACCATTGTTTTCAATGTCAACTGGTCAAAATTGGTTTACTGCATGACTATGAAGATCACGGAATCATGATGAGAGCCCCCCTACTCCGCATATGGGAACACATCTACAAACCATACGACAATTCTTAGAAAAAAGTTCAATGCACCGTATATACAATGGGTATCTCAAGTCGTCAATCCGCCTGCCGTTTATCATCATCAATTCCTATCAGCTCAGTCGCTCCAGGAACCCTTGCGCGATCAGCCGTTCCACATCGCCCTGTCGAACGTAGAGTTGACTGTTCTTCGTCAGATTGATAACCCTGTAAAACATCAACACACGTCAGCTCTGCTCTCAATGCATGCAGTAGGATTGCCCAGCCGACAGACAAGAGCAAGAACAACATACCCATACTCCGTCTGAATCTCCCCCGCATCCTTCAAAACCCTCACATCAATAAACAGATCCCTCGGCGGCTCCAAGCTCCCCGTCAAATCAATATCCGTCCACTGCCCCTTATACGCCGCCAGCATATCACTATACTGCCGAAAATACTCCTCCTCCTCAGGACTCAACGAGCTATGGTTCCCCGCCTGCGAACTCACCACCCCATGCGCCGCCGCCCCTCGTCGGCATTCGGCTGCTCCTGCTCCAGCACATCAACCCCCTTCCAGCAGAGCTCCTCGAGCTTCTCCGTGCGCACGCGGTGATACGCAAGGAGACAGCGCTTGTTGCGGCGCGTGCAGATGTGGTCGACTAGTAGGGCGCAGGCGGTCGCTGGATCTGCGGAGGGGTTGAAACTGCCGCCGAAGGGTTCGAGGAGGCGGGCGACGTCGCGGTCGAGATTGCGGACTTCGCGGGCGACGGTGCGTACCAGTTCGGTTTGGTAGGGGGGAGGTGGACGAGGGATTGCGTGCGTTTGGCGTGTTGGACCTGTGTGGGTGCTGTTAGCAAATAGCGCCGGATGCAATTTGGGGAGTAGGACGCGGCGGACCAGTTTGTTTCCGAGTTCGCCGTACATGATGGTGTGTTGACAAGGAAAAGATGTCAGAATTTTAGGGTGTTATTACTGCTATATATTGATGCGTCTGATGATCGCGCTGGACGCGTGTGTCAATGATCGGCCCGATAAGTTTATTCTGCCGGGTTGATGCAATTCCGCGTGCCAAGCCTCGCGAAAGGCGGTCATTGCATAAGAACCTACGGAGTAGGACAGTAGGCACTTACAATCTACAACTACTATCATTGGGACTTGGACTTGCTGTATTATTCTTGCATACGTACTGGTGCATTATCAGCACAAGTTTGACGCGTTAAGGATGAATATTGGCCGCCGCGATTGGTATCAGGCTGAATATGGAGAATCAAAAGCACCCATAAGACCACAGTAAGACAGCAGGACGCATTCGAGCTCATATTGAGTTACGAGTTCATGAAGGGATTGTCAAGGTGTTCTACTAAGGATGCATGCCCTAAATCAATGCTACTGCAATATTCGCTCCTAATCCATCACAAAAGGTTGGATGTCGCACAATCCACAACACTACTTCGAGTTGACAACATACCCAAAGTTATCCAAAATCAACGTAACATCCTGACTCAACTTATCATCCTCCCCAGCCTTGGAGACAGTAAATCCCAACGTCCTTAAGTCCGTAAACCCCTCAAAATCCACTCTCTGCAGTCGGGGCGTGCTAGTGTATTTCGCCGTCTGGATCTTCGGAATCCCTAGATCGTTGTTCTGCGTGCCCTCGAACAAAACGGTACAGTCAACAGGCACCGTCTTGCCTTTCTGGTCCGTCACGCATGCAAAGGAGATCTTCTTGGCTTCGAAGGTATCCGCCGCCGGGCCTTGCGGACGGAACCGAGGAATGTCCCAGGCGGCTTTGGAGCGAGGGCCAGAACGTTGGGGTTCTTCTTGGGTCTGTAGAGGGTTGGGGCTACTTTGGCGCGACGAGCGACTGTGAACTGGTCGCCGTATGAGAGGCCCTTGAAGGGGTTGGGGTCGACGGGGCCGGGGTTCAGGGAGTCATACTACCTTGTCAGCTGGTCATAAGGTGCAGTGGGGAGGGCAAAGACACTTACGCCAACGAAATAGTTTTGAGAAGCTGCGCAAGCGAGAGTAGACAAGGCTGCTAGAATTGCGAGCTTCATTGTCGGCAATTGGTCCTGTTTGGATGCTGATCTAGTAGAGGGTTGAGTCTTTGAGTTTATACAGATTATCTGGAAACTTCATTTGGGTCCAGCGAGGGTGGGCTATTTATGTCCAGAAAAAAGTAAGTATCACTATGTGCTCAGGTCCCATTCTTCCAGCTCAGTATGTGTCTCCTGGCCCGTGACTTGTCTGACTGAATTGTCAGCACCGTCCATTAGTTAACCTATCCACATAGGATTTACACTTGGCGCATCTATTGACGATCTCCGATCAATAGATCAGCGATCTGCAGACAGACCAAAAATGATTGGCTCGTCACAAGGGTGATCTGTGGACATACATGCCTTATCACACACTCGAGGAGAGACAACAAAGCAGGGGAGCTCAGTAAAAGCATAATGCAGGAGAATCAACGACGAAATGCGTTGACTCCCTCTCTCCCGACATAAGGAATATCCGACCTGGTGTATCAACCGGATCGTTCAGCCGCAGTCGATTGCTCGTTCAAATAGCCTCGTTGACGGCTTGTGCATGTTCACTGTTGCAAGGAGAACATACTGAATGTGTTAACGACGTGGACTTGTATAGTGTAGATTTGGCTACGAACGAGTGGATCGGTGGATTTGAGTGAACACGACGGGTTCAAAGATGAGGGGTGGTCCACGAACGCAATAGCTCTCTGGCTACAATCGACGGGAGAAGATACTCGTTACCAGAAGATTGGTCATCCTTGGACAAGGTTGTAGCAGTGCAATGCAAAGGAAATTTTTACAAAGAGGAGAGCAGGTCAGAAAAATAATGATTTGCGCCCCTCAATCTAATATTGTGTCAAAGTCAAGATACCAACAACATAAATAGCAGGGATATTTCCATGAAATATCAAAGGAGATTACCACCCAGAAAGGGATCAACTCCAACAGACAAAAGGAGATATCACGCAGACTACCAATGAGAAGGAGCAGCAGGAGACCTGAAGAACGTAGGGTATCACCCAGTCCCACAATACTAGACTCCGCGCCTGTACAACTCCGACCCTGAGGTTTTCTTCTAAATTACAAAAGGCCGGCCCAATGACAGACAGAAATCAGAAAACACACATCAGTAAGCATGACATGAGGGTCATCTTCTCGTCACAACAAGACAGGGACACAAGGAAGCTGCCTTGATTAATGTCACATTGTCGATCAGGGATATTCAGATGCTTGAGAGTTGATCCAGTGCTCGAATTCGCCATTGGAAGCGTCAAAACTGGTCTCGTCGTTGGTAGAATCCCAAGTATCGTGGCTATCCCCTAGAGTCTGCATGCCTTGATGATAGGTGGCGCCGACATGGTATGTGGATTGCAGCGGAGAGGGAACAGGGACATAGCAGTTACTCGTCGGGACTTCTTGCCAGATCGCATAGTGTGAGTGGTTGTACATAGCATGCTGACTAGAGTGGTCGCTTAATGACAGCAACTGAGGATCCAGCTGACCATCGGGTCCAGTTCCAGGGGTGTTCTGGGGCTGAAGAAGGTCGTGGTGGGCGCCTCCAGGCAGCCCGGCCAGCGCCGTCGACGAGGTGAACTGGATGTCCTGGAGTCCAACATGCTTGAATCGAGGATCTTCAGTAGGAGGGCCCATGAGGTTTTGATGCATTGGCTGCTGGAGGTATGAAGAGGGCTTGGGAGCTGACATGCTGGGATGACTGGTCTGCCACGAAGAACCGTAATATGTCGTCGTGGGCAGCCCATGCTCTGGAAAGTCGAAGGGTGTTGAGTCGTGGCTGCCCCAACCATTGCTGTCGACCTCGGACGAGCCCACGGCACGAACCTGGAGGAACGCCGGGCTAGATGCAGTAGTCATCTCGCCGCCATCCACGGTCAGCTGGTCGTCATCCGTTTCAGATCGTTTCTTCTTTTCCTTCGACGGGGAGAACTTGTATCCTGGGTGTGCTTTGAGATGATTGGCCTTTTCGAGGTTGGCCAGAAGCTCGTACTTCTCGCGAATCTCTGGCGTTTCGATCCGCCAGCTGTCGCCTGCGACCTCTGAAACGACCTGGTGGTTATTCTGTGCAAACCACTCCTTGGTCCGCTCTGCGTATGCAGACCGGTAGAGCATGAACGAGTTCATAGGTCTGGCAACTTTGCCATTCTTTTTGGCAACCTCCGCGTGCCGCACCTCCTTGGGCCGATGCACCCAGCTGTCCATGTCTCTGAGGGGAACATGTGTCAAATGCTTGGTAACTTCACTTAAAGGACCAGCTAGCTTAGGTTTCGACTCCCGGTTGTTCGCCTTCTTGGCTCGGCGCCTAATTCTGGGAGGTCTAGCTACTCTTACTTTCCCAGGGGAAAGCTTCAAGGCTGATGAAGATGGCCAGCGAGGAGGAGTCGCTTCTAATCTGCTAGGAACAACTCCCTCGTCCGAGGCAGGAGGCGGCGTATTGATCTGAATACCTGAGGGTAGCATCTGCAGTCTATTAGCACATGCTTGGCTAGCTAAATGTGTCACTGAGAACGGGGGCGGGGACCCTACCGTATGCTGTAGTGGTAGAGGTGTTGAGTACTCGTGGGAGACATATCGCGGTGACGATGAAGGGCCGTAGGTCTGATCAACAGTCAGTAGGTAATCAACAAGCTGAAGAAAGCTTCCAACTCACCATCGCTTGTGGCTCAAGCTCACTGTAGGCAGCTTCAGCGCTGCACGGCAAGCTAGATGTGACAAAAGGGTTCTGGGAGCAATATAGCGAGTTGAGCATGCCACGCTGTTCAGAAGCGAGATCTCCGTCGGTTGACTGAGGGGGAGAAGGAGGTGGGATGAATCTCGCAGCTGCAGCTGCAGCAGCCATTGTGGCAGCAGATCAGAGGTGAGGATGGTATAGAGATGTTGGGAGGAAAGGTCGCGCGATAGCGGAAATATGCGTTTTTAGGACGCAATGGGAGTGGTTGTAGAAGTTCCCTCAGCAGATCAGATGCTCGAAAGGAGATCTGGGAAATTTCCCCTTTCTGACTCTTGTGCGAAGGCTGAGACAGTCCGATTGTCAAAATGATAACCCCTTGACTTAGACAACCGGGGGAAACAATCGGGCGAGCCGCGCAGAGAGACACCCGAGAAGGTGAATGGAATGACAATAACTTTATGATTAAGTAGGGTATGCTTGAGAGGCAAGTTGAGCATTTGAGGCTCCAGTGAATCGATGCCCCACAGCAACAGAGACCCCCGACGAGAAGATGGAACGCTGTATCAGACAGTATTATGCACTGTCGTTTGGAGACGGGTACCAGAAGGAGACGGAGCGGTAGAAGAGTTCCACGGGAAATCAGCGATCAACAGTAGAAGTAGGCGAGATTGATGAGACCAAGGAAAAGAGAAGAGAGAGGATGAAGGAGGGGTATGCAGGATATTTTATGAAAGATATTCAGCAAACAGGATGGGAAGGAGGGATCAATTGGAGGAGAGGACTGATTGATTGACAGACTGATTGATCAAGGTATGGGGATGTGAACGAGATCGTGAATCTCAAGAGCCCCGTCGATCTTATTTAATGTTTTAATGTCTGATCAGTGGGTAATAGTGGAGATGTATTATGGTTCTTCCATGCATCATTATTGCAGACCTGGAGGGCCAAACAGACACAGACAGACATCAGTCAGTCAGTCAGGAGTTCCTCTCTGGCTGGTGCAGTCCAGTAGGCTGAGGCCCTGAGTCAATGGCGGTGTTGCACCTGCTGGGAAAATCAAGCCAAAAATGCTCTGCGCGCTGTCTTTGTTCCACCGTGCTGGGACGAGAGGAGACCGGGGTTTGCCATTAATATTATCAGACCGTATTTCCTATTCTTTTCTGTTGTGTCCTTTGAAGGCTTGAACTAAACATACGCCAGTGGATCTTCCTCCCAAAGGATCAAAAAAGAAAAGAAAAATTAGAAAAATGATAATAATTATTATAATAAAAGAGCCAGAATGAGAGGGACTGCGCCCCTCCTTTGTGCCAATTCTAGATGCAGATGCTTTGAACTGCTTCTAGATCCCTTGTTAGTGAATCAGTCTGGGACTGAGTGGCTAGAGTGGATGTAGGTACCGCAGTGTGGACAGAACTATCCATGGATCATGATTTGATAGAAGTTGAATAATTCAAATATTCAAGAAAAAACCAGAGGGGATTCAATGGAGAATCTAATTTCAGGCTCAAAGACACAATTCTGTTACGAATACTTTCTGTCTCTCTAAATTGGACTGTTCTATGTTCAGGCATTATTACACATGACGGGGAAGACCTCATGTGGCTTTAGCTCCTGGGATACCTGTCTACAGTAACTGTTATGGTAATAAATGCGACATTCGTCTAATTAGCTTCAGAAAGTGACAGCGCGTTAGTAATGGGTCTATCAGTCTCAGACAGGATCAGAAGGAGAAACGACCAACGGGAAAAGGGGAAATCGAAAAGGAAAAAAAGACCCCTAAAAAAAGAAAAAAAATTTTATTTCAAGTTGACTGGCAGATACTTACATAAACCTACAGTAGATGTCGTCAATACTTCACTATCCTGAAGTGTCAAACAGTGGTCAGTCGTAGAGTTGAGCCATAGTACATACGGGGCATTAACTATCTATCCACGACCTGACGGACAATTCAAGTAAAAACGTGAGACAACACGGAGTATATACATGACAAATCTAGACTATATATATGTATGATACAGGGTCTCATGATTTGTTTAGGAGTATAGAAGAGGAAGACATCTCCACTCTCCGCGATGAGACTCAGAGTACCTATGTACTGATCATGATATCAGAAGCGACGTTCCATGGGTCTGACGATATAAGACTGCATGTCATTGGAGTCTGTGGGTGGATATTTCAAATATAACATGAGGCGGTTACCGTACCTACTTCGTAGCTACTTAGAATCCCTCCCGTCGAAAAGGTATATCGATTCCGGGACCTACGCCGTATAGTGAGAAGACATGAGGACTGGCCCATGGAACCGTACGCTTCCCACATGGCCTTATTCGACCTCCATAACTTCCAGCAAATCACCCGGTCTAAACCATATGTAATAATGTACGTAGTTTCAAGAGGACCATGGACATTTCCCAGTATTTAACCTAAATCGCGGCGGAGTATGGAACTTGAGATTGTCGATCGCCCTCGGGTCCGCCATTTTAGGAGAGATACGCTACCTGTATGTAGACGTCTTGAGTGGGAAACGGAGTTGCCGGTAATGTTGTCATTGATAGGTAGGTCGTTGGTTCGGGCGCAAGCAGTTCCGTGTTTGGAGATGCCCCATAGTCGGACCAAACGGTGAGCATGGACCCGATGGAGACGGGGTTTAATTCGACCAGTTTTGCGGGGAGCTTGATGATCAGGAGTGAGAGGACCTCGTTCAGAGCCAGATTTGCCAACATATAGAATCCCTAATCCCTCAGTATCAACCCTCTCTTCCTTTCTCTCACTTTTCTTTTTCCCTCTCAGTCAATTCTCACCTGAAGTCTGCCGAAAGTTGGCATTCATAGATACCGTGGCGGTAGTTGCGTAGCCCGGCTATTACTAGGCATTATTATTCAATATGTGGTGGCTGTTATGAGAATTAAGTTACCTTCCTGCCACGAGGACCCCATTGGTGCTTATCATTGGGTGGGCCAAATTTGCGCCGCACTAGTACCACAGGCTGGCTCTAGCAGATCGCCGATTCTTACCTTACTAGCGTAGATGTCTGTAAAAAGAGAATAGAGTCAGGACGGGTCTCGTACCTTGTATCCAAAAATACCGGTAGCCTGACGAACTGCTCCCTATCTTCGCCTCCCCTTTGGTCTATAATGATAGGATTTGTGCATGTTACCCTTGATCAACCTTGATCGATGTGCCTAAATGGCTTGCTATCCTTGCCATCAGGTTCCTTGCACTTGGACTCTTTTCAGTCACGTGTCGACTAGGCCATATGCAGCAGGAACGAATAAGTCCATAGCCTACCTGGAGTCGAGGAAGAACTTGGCGGGTTTCTGTACGCAAGTCGCATACAATGGATCATGACCATGCAATAAGGTACTTTACTTAACTGCCAGAATTAGGTTGTCATTCCTTGATCTTGTGGTGATACCAACAAGTCGATAGTACATATCCTTGCAGCTATTGGACCGTGTAGCAAGCCCCAAGCATGTGGCTGTCATGTGTCAACCTGAAAGCGGTTACGGTACCTAGAGTGGATACCAGTCACAATCGACGTACCGAATGGTTTTTGGGGGAGCCTTACACACTCTTCTGCTTCATCCATCTTAATTGACCTTTTTGTTGATTGTCCACCATATCAGAGTGAGCAGGCATACCGTCGAGTGGAGGCTTGCATGGACCCATGATCTGCGGCTGTCAAGTGGGCTGCTGTTGCTGATAGGCTTGAAAGGCCCCCATATGGCTTGCGCAGGAACCGTAGTGGCCCTGCATCAGTTCTTTGTTCGAGCTTAATCCAGGGACACAGGAACCTCTGGCCTTTGACAGTAGGTATCAGCGCTCGACTCGAGATTCCCCAGCAACCTGAAGCGCTGGTTTTCCAATTCGACCTCATGTGGATGCAGTTCGTGCTGTCTATTTTTGTACAAGGCATTCATGCACTATTGTGGGCAGGGCTAGTTTCATCAAGGATCTTTGCCTCAAGATGAAAGCACTCATTGTTGAGGTATCTTGCAAGTTTCAGAGTGGTTCATGACTCCTGCAGGGACGCTTTGACCGCTTGAGTTGATGTCAGCCCCGTTGGTGTCACCATGCAGGTCCTTGGGCAAAGCCTCCTCCAAAAGGAAGAGGATTGGCAGCAAGGATGATCTGGTAGGACAATTTCGACAACCCCAGGTGTCCGACAAGCTTCTGGAACATCACTAGATCTGCGCCAAGAAGCGAGCCTTTCCCATTCCGTTGAGTGTAGTATTTTGAGGACAACAGACAGAGCAAAGCCTCGATGGTCTGGTGACAGGGGCCTGTCAAATTGCTGGTCTCAACCATGGCGTTGATCACCACATCTTGGTTCGTTGCACCCTGAATGGGTTAATGGCTTCTTTCCTCACCAAATCCGGCGAACCTAATAATAATCGCGTTTCAGGTTCGAAGACTGCGCCTCTTCTCCCCAAACATTCAACGTTGAATATATTTTTTGAAACAAAGTTGTGAAGAATAGGATTCCATTTATGGGGCAAATGGTGGGAAGAGAAAACGAAACAATCTGGGTACGAGCCACGGAAAGCTCCTTCCAAAAGTTGCCGATCAAATGTCCCCGAGCACATGGCAGGATCAACGTTGGGGAAGAGGCTATTGACTCTTCGGCGAGTCAGACAAGTGGCTAAGACTCAGGATTCCATGATACGCTAGATGGCTCTATCAGGAAATGCAGAGCAAGCGGACATCAGAGATACCGCCAATCTTCCTTCGTCTTCTTGGTCCCAGATATTTTTCGGGAATATCGCTTGACCTGGGAGTGGCCAGAAAGGCGATCAATGGATACAAGCCAACGGCCGACAAGGAGCTGTACTCAGGATTGTCAACTGGATGTCTGCTCAGGCACAGCAAACTGAGAGACCGGTAGAGGAGTAGGTATTCAATGGAAAACGCCCACATGATCAACCGCATTCCCTGTTTCTGGACTAGCTATCACACTTTTGCTTCTCCATGCCTTCTGGTCAAACTTTTCACCTGAGCGACGTGTGTCAAGTATGGGGAGTGAGAGACGCAAGAAAGTCTGTTTGGCACTAAGTCCTTTTGGCATACTACTTCCATGGTTCTCTCAAGTCTCAACCACATGGCAAGCGTATATCGCCGAGCAAGACCATCGCGACCTGCGCTATTCATGGCTCGATTGGAAATAAGGTGCAGGGTGGCTGCGATCAACAAAAACGTGGCCTCCCAGAAACATGTGGTTGTGGAAGGGAAGCCACCACAATCATCGTCAAAGCGCCAGAGTAGGCTCAATCCTAAGTTTCAAACCTTATGCCACGAGGTATTTCTGGTAATCAAGAAGATGGAAAAGACAAGAAGATAATTCACCAGGAGAGGTGTGCGCACTGTTGAGTAACCAACAGGGCGTTGGGCCAATATGATTGGTGACAATTGGTGATAAAGACCACACATCCTGCGCCTCGAGGCGAACTTTCCTGCTAGATTGCGGTGTGATAGCGCACTAGTTGGCTCACTGAGTGGCAGCAACGGTCAACAAGTCTCAAGCGATAAACCTTGAGTGGTGCTGGTACGCCGGCCCGGATAGCTCGAGGATGCTTTCCCTGCTCTCACGTCTGCCCGCTGTGCCGGCCGTGGAAACTCCACGGCGCAGAATTGGTCCTACCTTGAATCTACAGTTCTACTCCCTATGGACTATGGAGCAACAGCATGGCGATCCTCCGCGTGGGTCTGATATGGTTTGACAAAACAGTACGAGTACATGGTTTCTTATCCAACCTTAAATGGCAGAAAACGCTTTGTCACTCGTGTGGACAGGGTCGAAGTTAAACACGAGGATAGATAAGGCTGGACTCATGGAGCCTGGGGTGAAGTTGGGAGAAATATGGGAGAAATATGGAATGACTCGAACGAAGGTACGTACCAAATCACCTGCCAGCTTTAGAGTTATCCGTCCAGCCCAGCCAAGGTGCAATTCTCTCATTTGGGCAATGAATGATGCGGCAGGTGCCTGGTTCACGTCATCCATCTCCCTCGATGGTTCGCATCCGCGCGTCTACTACATAGCGGAATCCTAAGTCTTTAGACATAAGTTAGTGATAAGAAGATACATTGAGTTCGTCGCTACGGCCCTTGCAGTCTTACTGATAAATTTTCTAGCAACGGACTTTACGGGTCTTCGGATATAAGAAACGCTCAGTTTAGCAGTCGGAGTACTCGAGTGTAGCATATTGCCTGTAAAGTAAGGCATCTACTATCGAGTTCGAATGACCCGGAAAGGGGGAATAATCCATCAGCTTACCCGACACTCAAATTATCAAGTCCACCAAGCAAAATGCTGGAAAGCGTGACAAATTGCGAAGCTTGAGTCTAATCCCTACCCTTCCATGCAGTATCATCACTGATTACTTAACGGTAACCGTTTATCGCTTTCGAGTCATGTGCCTTGCGGCCTGACCGGTCAGTCTAAGGCGCTGGTAGTAGTAAGGGTGTGATACATGGTACATTAGGAAGTCTCTCAACATACGGACTCCACGTAATAAACGCTGTTTTATAGCACAAGGATGTCCGCGGCCTGTGCGTTCTGTTTGGTGCCATTCCCCGTCATGATGTACTTTGCATATGCAGGGATGTCTGGCTCCTGACTGCCACGCGAAGCTACAATAGATATTCATCCCAACCCTCGTACGAGCTCGTACGAGCTTAATCTGTGGCTGACTCGGACGGTTTAGTTCGGGGATCAACTCTGTATCAGAATAGCGTGATTTCGGCGTCTATAACTTACTTTCGGGTATGAGGCATATGTGACGATGCGCAGATGGTCCAGTACGGAGCAGCCGATTAATTTTCCCTATGGGGTAAGGTACCTTAGTAATAAGGTTGTTTAGTCGTATGAGGAGGTATGACTATGGTGCAGTGACATGGCTTTCTATTGGAAAGCTCTAGTGGCCCAAGTAACCTTGACTTCGAGTGACAGATAACTGACTGCTGACTTTTCAGCATCATCACCTTCAATACTTCATCGTCAGTGGTCTGTGGCTAGCGATCAGCGGCTTGATCGTTTATTAATAAGCAATGTGCCTTTGCATCGGATCCGAACAACCGCCTCGAGTGGACGGATAGACTCGGTTTTGACATCTTCAAAACGTCAAAGTGAAAATGAAATACTAGTACGGACTATGTACCATAGTGCGGCGAGTCTACGCCCTACGGAGTACTCCGCACACTCCACGGACCAGATCGGTTTAGAGGAAGGTCGATCCGCATACCTTAATAGTTCGAGACCTATGGAGAAATATTAGGCTTTTGTGCCATGTAGGTTTTTGCTTTGATTAGACTTTGGATCAGCTGCCGGCACTTTGTTATGAATCGATGGTGTATCGAATATTGAGCAATCCCGCGGCTAATGCGTATTAGAGATATATTCCCTGCTATCAATGCCCCCTTCTAGTAATCTAGTCAACTTTACGGAGTAGTGTCGGCGGAATTGGAACTCCATCCGGACCCCACTTGGGGACTCTTGGCCTGGACCATGTTGCTTCTTACCTAGCCCAAAGCACTTACTCCAATCTGTACGACTAACCAATTCCCCGTGAATCCATGATACAATTGGATACTGTCCATTTCATTCTTCCAATCTGTTTATCTGGCACTGCATACTACAGTTAGGCCATGTGCATGAGGATCTGCCTACCCCCGTACAGGCTAACGACTTGGACAAGAGACAGGCGCCACGGCGGTAGAGTTGTCACACCTACAAGCCTAAAGTTGAAGCTGAGGATGCTACTACGTAGTTTAGTACAGGATTACTCTGAACCCCTTGCCTATGTCGACATCTGCATGTACTGGGATCCGCTTTCCCCGTCTATCTACTCCAATCGATTACTAGCTAAACCACGAGCACTATCCACAATGTGCATGCTTGGCTAGCTCCACGGGGTTGACGGGAACCATTCAAAACTGCCTTTCCCCGAGTCATGAACACGATCTGAGAAACGAGGGCTGTCACTGTCAGATTTTTGAGTTCAGGCGATCTTTGGATCGTGAGCTGCATCGCGGCCGGACCATCACCCGCCATCGTCAGTTTAGTCGTTCATCTTGCACCACTAGTCCCTCCTGGGATCACATAGCCGAGTACCCTAACCCAACCATGCCCGTAATACGAGATAGCACTCATAAAGTCATGACCGGAGCCGATAGCCGACGTTACATTCGATAGGATATTCCGCCAAGCATACATGATTTGGAATGATTTCCTCGAGTCAGGTTTGCCTATGGCCAGTGAGGAGGGGCCTGCTACATACTTTCGTTAGTTGTCGTACGGAGTACTCCGTACTAAACACTCGTTCATCATGTGCTCTTGGCTACTTGTCCTGCAGTGGAAACTTGAGTGCCTGTATCCTGTCTCAACCAAGCGGCAAATGAACGAGAGAGACAAAAGTCCCAGCAGCTGCCAGGCTGTTAATCAGCCACCCCCGGTGAGCTAACGATGATCCATCCCGTGCGCACTGGACGTTACACCATAATAGTCGATACACTAAACCGACAGCTTGATTGATACAACAAGAATGGATCGAATCAAGTCGTCTAAACTATCTACTTTGAACGGTTAGATTTTCATGGCGGACTGCCGACCCTCTTATTAGAACAGGATTCATATCCCTGAAAATCGATTCAGGGCAATCCCGGACGGAATTAGACCCTCATAGTCCGTACAAGTATGAATGGAGCGCAGAGGGACCCATCGGGCTACGAGTATTTCCCCTAACCAGCCCATGTTACACGAGCAATAGAGTCCTAAAGTCATCGACAGCGAGTAAACATGTCCAGGCCTACAGAGTATCCGTACATCACTCACTCAATCACCACAGGCCAAGCATCAGGGACTTGCTTGCTTGCCCGCCCTACCTCCTAAAAAAAATGCATATGCACCATGCGAGGAACAAGCACAATAAGGTGATTGTCCTGTCCTCCATCCCCATCCCTATCGCCATCCCCAACCAGCAGCACATTCCCGTCAACAAGAACAAACCATCCAGTTCGATTTGAAATGCCCCCATGCAGTTCTCACGAATCGATTCAGACGGACTCTACCCTTTGCTCCCAGCGCAGCGGGTGTGCCAGGGTCAGCTCATTTGCTACCTGCGCAGAAAACCCATTCTTGTGTCTTTGCTATTGTCAATCTGCATAGCTGCAGCCATCTCGTCCTAAGAATTGGGTTGCCCCTGCGCTATAGGTGACCGGTATATAGATCGTAGGCTACCCTGGTTTACTGGGATCCCTCTGATTGTACCTGAGACAGGCATGCAGCCGACCCGATAGGGGTTTCGGATTCGTTCGGACTCCAGGGCTGGAGTGTAGCCTACACCTGAGGCAACCAGGCAATGCAATATTGCTCGATATAGTATTGAAGCAAATTTGAAGGAATAGCTATGCATGCGTGTCCATTTTCTGCCTTGAGACTGAAACCATAACCGCATCTATTGAAACATACAGAAAAAACCATCCGATCTGTCAGTCTCTATTAACTCCTCAATCAACCCAGTGCAACGCCTTGATTGCATTGTAAAACTCCGTGGATGTAATTCAGAAATCCCATCCGGCCCAGATCAGAAAAAGATGATGTATCCTGCGTACGACAGAAGAGAAGATCAATTGATACAGTGACATGTTGTCAAAAAACCCAAAAGGCATTGTTGTTCATCGACCGATCGACCGATGCAAAATTTCAACGTCGCCCGAAAGTAGCGCTTCGATCTTCGGATATTTCGGACGTTCAATTAACCTTGCAGACTAGAATTGGCGATCCGCAGATAGTGGTCAAATAAAGAATACGTCGTTCCGTTTGCAGGTGTTGGATAATGTCCATTTGCTGGGGGAGATGTTTCCGGCCTTTCAGTATTCGCCCATCGGAAGAATAACAGCGCCAACACGGAGTAAATCTCCACCATCGCGGACCCTAGATTCGTTCGGGTAAAGAAGGGTATTGCTTGCCGAAAGATCCAGAAATGAAGCACACTTCGGCCATGATGCAGTGTAAAATGTAGTACGAAATCCCATATCAAAATGCAATGTGGAACCTGTACCCGACGAAAAATAAGCGCCTAATTCCAATTCACCATCTAACTTATGGTCCTGCCGAGCCGCCTATGACTGTGGTTCGTTGTTCCGACTAAGAGCTGATGGGCCCAAAGGAGGTATCCGATTGAGCGAAGGGGATGACATGGTGGAATACTGGCGATTAGACAGGGAGTGAGGCTGAGACTGGAACATTAGAGCATTTTCCCTTTGCCGACGCTCTTCCTGTTCAGGAGTCATAGATTTCACGGGAGGTGGAATGGGCGCGTCAGGCGAACTTCTGCCCATCAACTTCGGGCTCGGCTCCAGTTTCTGAATTGGAGGCAGGATTGGGGCCCCAACAAGGCTGCCCGAGGTCATGGGACGCGGAGACTGCTTGGTTGGGCTGATGCCAGAAAATGGTACGCCATGCGAGCTCTGCGGGGGCGAGGACCTGCTGCCACTAGGAGTCGCCGCTGAGAAAGATGGCCGACCGCTGTGGAACGAAGAAAAGGAGGCATTATTGACAGTGTCGGGCCGCGGAGCCGCCCGATGTGGTCCAAACGGCGTCCATGGAGTTGAGCCGTCCGAGGGACCTGTAGGTGGAAATCCCGCAAGCGGACCAACATCATGATTGCCTTGGGTGGGAGACATTGAGGGACGATTCTGAATAGGCGAGGGAAGACTCGGGCTCTGAGCTGAGTGGGCAGACGACGGCCGTCCAGTATGCAAAGAACTTCCACCAAAGGTGCCTAGACCGATAGGAGGAAGATTGGTAGCTTGTGAGATGGATGGCAGCTTAGAAGGCAGTCCCTGAGACAGTCCCTGAGACGAAGGCGCCAAACCATTCATGCCTTTCATCGGCGACGACAAAGGCCGAGAGTCGCTAATAGGAGCTGACTGTCCGTGGGTGACGTGCTGGGGAGGACGTTCAGGCGATGATGGCACTCGAGTCACTGCCTGAGCTGTACTTGAAGATGGCGCGTGTGGTTCTACCTTCGGGGGCTTTGAAGGAGAACTCATTTGCGCTGTTGCGGCGGCATTGGTTACTCCCGAGTCTTGATGATGGTGGGTAGCCAGAGCAGCGGACGGTGGTGAAGAACCGATTTTGAACTTCAAAGGAGGAAGTTTTGGCAACTTCGCCTCTTCCTCCCGTCGCTTGCAATCCTGACAGATGAAGTGGAAATCTTCGCGCTCGGCATCATGCTGTGCAATACCTAGACACTTGCTATGCTGCCACACATTGCACTTTTCACACGCTACGCTATGTGAGCCATCATCCTGTTTCCTTGTTAGCAAGGTGCGGCTGATACAGTCGAGAATGGCCATTTCATACCCAATTTTCCCCGTGGACTCCACAACCTGAACAGTCAAAAATCCAGTGATCATCTGACTGAAGCTCCTCCAAGCTCTTCCTCTGCTTCTCCATTTCAGCCTTGAGCTGCCTTTCTGACAGCCTGCTCTCACCCCTTTCAAGTCTCTCCTGTTCTTCTGCAATTTTCTGAAGTTCGGCTTCATGCAGACGACGCTTTCGTTCCCGGTCTTTGATGCGCTGCTCACGCGTCATCATCCGAGTGCGTCGTTCTTCCTCCATCTTCCTCAACCTTTCCTCTTCCTTGCGCGCCGCGGCCAAATCCGCCTCGTACTTCCGAGCTGCTTCGGCTGCCTCTCGCTCTTGTCGCTCCCTCTCAGCCTTCTGGGCGAGTCGGCCGGACCGTTTGGCGCCTGCAAGCAGCTGCATGTTCAAGAGCTCCTTCTCACGCCTGGCTCGCTTCCGTTGTAGAGCTTCTTCCTCCCTCTCGATGACCGGTAACACGTGCTCCACGATCCTATCCCGCAATATCTTCTCGTCTGGGTCTTTGGTCTTGCGAACCGTGTCCAAGAAGCGGTTATAATCCTCTAATGTGATGGCGATGCATTCCCACTTCATGTTTTCAAAGGGATCTTTAGCAACGCCGTCATCCACATTGTCAGTGTCTTCACCGAACTCTTCAACGGGCGCCGCGCCTGAGACTTTCCGTCGTTTGGAGGCTCGTGATGCTCTTGCGCTTCGGCTCTTCGGCTTCGACTTGGCAGGCTTCGGGGGGGGATATCAGGATCGGTACGACGGTACAGCCGGTTGTCATCTAGAACGTAATAGTAGCGGCCTTCGCGATCATAGCCTAATTCTTCAATGCGCTGCACCGTATCAGCATTTCTGCGGAAGACCAAGGTAGACAGCGGGAGGTTACCAACCCATTGTGTTTGGTCAATTTCTTTCTGCTCTGGCATCTTCTCGCGGATGCGATCGGGGTTCCAAAAAGTCCAAACAGACAGTTGATGGAGAACACGAAGCTTTTGGAATACATCAAAGTCCAAGAATTTGTTCGGGACCTCGTCGTAACCGAAGGGGTTAGGCAGATGGGGAGCTTTGGCATTGTATTGACGTCGCGTATATTCGTCAAAGTTCTCGAACCTAGATCCAAAACCTCCCATCAGCTGAGGCGACATAGAGAAAGTGAAGAGACCGTTCACATACGTAAGACCTCGATGCGACGAGACCCATTTGAGAAGGCAGAGTCCAATCTCCATGAGCTTTTCCGATGGTTCAGGTTTGAGGCATTCCGTTTCCAAATCCTAGCAAGGGAGGGACGACCAACAATCAGCTTCGTAAGAAAGACGGGGGACAAATAGCACAGAACTGTCGCTCCCGGTATACGGAGCTGCGCAGGAGCATGGGAAAGAATAACACTCACATCAATTCCAAAGTCTTCGTCAATCTTCATGACTTTACCAAAAATCGCGATATACTGCATGAGGTTCGCAAACTCCCAGCAATTCCGAAGACGGTTCAGCAAGCCATTTTCTTCAGAAGGCTGCTCCGGAGCAGCGTCCACCTCGGAGCGGGTGCGCTTTCGCGATACCATGGCGGCGATTCAAGACCATTCAGGGCGCCGCAGCGCAGATGGGAATTCAAGAAGGTGCGAGGTTCAATGCGTGGGACAACCTGATCTTCTTCCTAGATCAAAAAATTGAATCTGTGGGACAAATATTAATTGCGGTTGGATGAGTGTTAATGATTTCAGTTCCTCCCAGGAAAGTGTTGTAATTGTCCTGGCTGGAAGGGCGGCGGGCAGACACGGCGGAAGTTTTTCCAGGGCGCGAGACAGTGATGAGCTCAGAGGGAGGCGCGTCGAACCTGGGGACGCCGTCACGTGATTAATTACACCCCGATAAGGCACTCCACGGTAGATCGTCTTTCTGTATGTTCAGGGAGGTGAAGTCCTCAAGAAACAGAAAGGTGTAAATAAGAATGAAAATAGAAGCATTCATAAAGAAAATAAACCACATTGTTCCACAGAGTCCCAGAGCAAACATTGGAGATCTCAGCATTTGTTAATTGCATATCTCGCGAGATATAATTCGCGAGAAACAGTTCAACCAGCATCCATCATGAACAAAAACTTATATATATTGGTATCTCTTGCTCAAAAGAGGGTCTATCTCAATGGTATACGGATTGGTAAAAGAATCATGATTGAAGAGAAGGAAAATGCGCGAAAGAGAAGATAGCGCCCAACCATATCCACGCCACCGACCCTTGTACCATTGCAATGAAAGATCAGCAGAACCCGTACAAGAAGGCAAGAACAATGAAGAGGACGAAATGGAAACCAGAGAATTGATACACTCGAACACGAAAGATCACTCAAGCACCAAGTCACCGAAATGAAACCAACTCAGATGATCACAATAAAAAAAAGGGGAAAGAAAAAAGAGAAAAGAAAGCTTTTCTTGAATCGAAACCATGGCCTCATCGATCATGCCCCTCCCTTTGCTTTTCTTGTCTCAATGTGTAGAGATTGCCATTTTGAACACTATTTGCGCCGTGTGATCCGTCTTCGCCTAGAAACCGTCCCATGCATGTCGTAAGGTGGCAAATATACCAAGCATATTAGATGAGGAAGGATACTTTTTTCGTCGTCTACATGGTGACTCCCGGAGCGCCGTCGGAAACATTATCAGAGAGATTGATGAGAAGCTGTGCAAGGCAGCGTTTCGTGGCCGCATCGTCGCGGAGTACAGAGGAGAAGGTGGCGTCGCGGAGCGGTTCGGGAAGGCACTGGCGGAGAGCTTCACGAGCCCTGCTATTGTCACTGAGTCTGATACGATATTAGCATATGGGATCCGATCGGCAGTCTATTGCGAGGATATCGGGACTCAGAGGTCTAGACTCACCGAAGGAAGCAGCGGACAACATGTTTCAGCAATCTCACTGTCTGCTGCTCCACAAGCTGGGTGACCATATTGCTCAACACCGTTCCCACGGCGTAAAATCGTTCGTATGTAGCGCAAATATATGCAAGACCGATATCATCAAGAAGAATTTTCTGTACAATGAAAATGGCGACGGTTTTGCTCAGCTCCGATCCTGTCTCCATGATGCGAAGGCACAGAGGGATGATCTCGGTCGTTAGGAGGAAGTTGATCACATCGGACGAATCATTCTTTACCAACGCCCCGATGACTCCCAGTGAAGTAAGTCGCAGGTATTCAAAAGGTCGAGACTTCGAAGTTGTGTTGAGAAACGGGTAAAGAAAAAGAGGGATGTGAGCTAGAAGGCGACGTGCTCATCAGCAATGCTGTCTCTCAGTGCACGCAGGTAAATCAGGGGTGAGAAAATACCATTCAGAAAAAGAGTGCGAGTCTCGTTGTGAGAGGCAACACATTGTAACAGAGCCAGCGCATTGCAAACTCGATTCGACGCCGCAGCAGTCAACTGGGAAGGGTTGAGCAGGGGGTAAACGGAGATGATTTCCTGGAGCAGAGCAGTCATAACTCCTTCGAGAGAATGTTAGTACTGAACGTTCAGATTATGCACTCCGCAGAACCGCGGGCGAAAGTCTCAGATCATACCAAATGAATGCCAGATGACCAGCGCCAATTCGGGAACCTGCTCTCTCTTCTTGCTGAGTTCCATCAGAGCCGCCTCCCGACGATTCGGATCAAGCAGCTCTGCAACCCAAATGAAGACCTTTCTGTTCTCATCGCTGATGCCACCATCCATGACCGAGACCGCACCGGACAAAGCGTTTTCTCCATTCAAGGCTGCGGCACCGGCACCTTGCGCCGCGTTCCCAGCAGCACCGTTTCCAGCCATAGCGATGCGATTATAATGTTGCTGTTGAGCGGCAGCCGCTGCGGCGGCAGCAGCCTGAACTTGAGCATGTTGAGCCACCAGCGACGAATGCTGCTGTTGTGCTTGGTGGGGATGGGGCTGGGCCGGATGGTGCTGTTGCTGCGGCTGCTGCTGTTGCTGCTGATGCTGCAGCCAAGAAGGATCAGCCTGCGGATACTGATGCTGGTGGGAAAAGACGTGCTGAGATTGTGTCTGAAGCATGGCGGGCCGACGAAGGATCGTAGTACCCTAGGCGACTAATAGAGACGGTGAAGCGTCGCGAGGATAGGATAGTTCAGATTGTCAAGCAGGGAACTCGGAAGTGTAATTCATGGATAAATCTCTGCTGACAGGAGTCAGATGTAGCGTTGACTGGTAGAGGTTGTTGGATATAATAGGAAGCAGAAGTCGGAAGTGATAGATAGAGGAGGGTTATTGAAGAGGGAAGTTCGGACTTCGGGAGGCGGGCGGGGAGCGCGCGCAAGTTGAGCTTAGGCGGTTTAGTTGGGTTTGTGACTTTTGGCGATGAAGAAGGGTCGGGTTCTGTGTCTTGTGGAGCCTCCCACTACGTACTAGTTACTACTTTTAGCACCATGATCTTGGCTTTTCTCTGCAAAATAACATCAAGAATCCTTCACTTCTCATCTCTCTTTTTCTGCTGGCTTCATATCTACCATCGAGTACTGTTCTTGAGCTGTTCAGAAGGTGTTTTGGGAGCTTACATTCCTCGAATACCTAACCTACCTAAATAAAGTACCGACTTGCAGGTTACACTGAAAGGCGCACGAGTCAGTCCGGCAGGTGACTATGATGGCCCTTGCTCTCACCCTCGCCAGGTTGGGGAATCGGAGATTCAAAATGCCCCTTGGCGATCATGATAAGAATGCATGAAATCATAATCGGCATCTGTGTTAGGCTACAAGGGTACCTGCGTCCAGATGCCCTCTTCAGCTTCGAGCTCATGATGCTTTGCGGTTCGGATATGTCTATATCTGTCCCAAGGCAAACTTATAGCATCTTATGTGCCTGGCAGGTTAAATAACCCTACAGTGATTAAGATCTGTTGGATTACCAGGTTTCGTTATTACCGTATAACTCGGATCATTCGCGTTCGTTGCTCATATTTACATCATTTTTCTCGTCCAATCCATCAAGGTCATAAAGGTAAAACATAATCACACGAAGATAATCGTCACACATTTCCGTCCCAGAAATCACAGATCACAATGGAAAAAGAGCAAGCATACTTATAACATACAAGGCCAGCGCCGATCTATGCATTATCAGTTATTGGGGAAGCTCCTTGAGAATGCTCAGTCATTCACAGGAGACGGGGAATTCGTTTTCGAAGACGCCGTCGGATCATTGGGAGCAAGTCATTAGATCATGATCGTCGTGAGCGCGGCGTGCGAGGATTTCTGGATCGTCTTGTGTCTCTTGTTCGCCTATCCGAGCTTTCGCTACCTAAGACGCAGACTGTTAGCTACGGACGGTCAATTGGGAGAGCGGGGGAGACATACTTGCGCTCGTGTAGTCGGAGTAATAATAGTAAGAGCTGGGATAAGTGTAATCACTCTTCTCGTCTTCATCCTTGCGCCTCCTCAAGCCTAGACACAGCGCAAGAGCGCCGAGTATAATGCCAATGGTCGCCAGACTTCCCCATCTGGACTTCTTTTCGCCTCCTTCTGAGGCGGATGGCCGAGTACCAAACCAGGTTCGCCCTTCGGGTTTGCTTCCGTGCGCATGGTGATGGTAATGCCCTTCGACATACGTGGTATCCTTTCTCTTCCTTCTACCAGGACAAAGGCAGGCGAACAGGGCGTCCAGAGCTCCCTTGCAACACATACAGGCGCATAGCAGGAGCAGGATAAAGACGCCAGCGATTACGCCGATGACTATACCCGCAATCGCGCCACCGCTCAGTCCTCCTCCGGCAGCATGGACTCCGATCAAAGTTGCGCCGTCTGTTCCCACAGGTGGGATGAACCCTTGTGTGGTCGTCGCAGTTGCAGTCTGCGTCATAGTCGACTGTGTCGTTCCCCGGACTGGAGGGGTCGCAGTGGCTGTTACCCATATCGATGAACTTCCCACAATACATTGATCATTGGCGCAGACAAACGCAGCACCACAGCATGTATTGCCGCAAGCTGATTCGCCGAGGTCGGTCCTGCAACTGGTCGAGCTTGTTGCGGTCGGTATCAGGCTACTCCATGTAGAAGTAATCGTTTTGGCATCCGTCTCGGTGATAACGTAGGTAGTGGTATAGTATTCCCAAGTTCCGCCGCCGCCGCTGCCGCCCGACGAGTCCAAACAAACTGCTTGTCCCTGACTGTTGGTACCGCAGGTCTGGCTGGAGGTGCAGCATAGCTGGCTGTAATAGCCGCAAGGGTTCGCGCAGCGCTTCTCGAGACTGGCCTCCTCGAGACTGACCTCTTCGACTTCCAGCGGTGTCGCAGCTGATAGTCGCAACTGGCTCAGAACAGCCAGTATCGAGATCGTTGGCCGTACTATACGAAATGTCTTCATGGCGAAGGAGCAGTTTCGACGGTTCTTGAACGGCTGGCGCAAGGTAACGATCAGTCGCCCACCCTGGACTGTTCGCTGCGATTCCTGGCCAAATCAGCTTAAGCCTGTCACCCGTTGAGCAGTCGACCAGCTCAGAGGCAGTGACACTTTTGACAGGCTTATAGTTCGGATAGTTCCGATAGCAGGAATGCGATAAAGCAGATTCCACGAGGTTTCAAAAACGAACGGAATGTAAGAAATTTTGTGATAATGATCTAAGTAAACAAAAATGTTTCTATGAGAGAAAGGAATGGAAGAATGAGAAGCGATCCGGCAGCTCGTGGAGGTCTGACTGTCGAGACTGAGCACAACTCCCAGCCTCCTCTCATCCAAACCCAACCACCGGATTTCCTGATACCAACAACCAATCGCTACAACACAGCTGATGCACGATATATTGCAATAGCTCAGATTAAGAGACTACCTGGAAATCTAGGAGGCTGGGAATCATATCATATTTTCCTGTTCTGTCTCTATCAGCTTTTCTAATAATAACTGAGCATCATCCGTCGGTGTGATTGGCATCACATCACTGCCCTCACATGGAATCCTCCCCGCTCTTTTGGGTGCCGTCCCTGACAGCATCACTCCTAGGTCACTGCGCTCGACTCTTCCGATCGCCTGACTTTAGCGGCCGGTGAGACTTAATCAAACCGTGAGACGGGCCATTGACCGTTTATGTAGAAGCTCCACCAACAGAAGATCCCAGAAATTACCCGGCCTTAGTATCGGCCAGCAACCAATGGTCGATGTACTCCGTACCCCGTAGGACTGTCCACATCAGGCTTTCTAATGCGTCAACTCTTTCTCATTGATACGGATCTTTAGTCTCCTGTCTTGAGCTAGCTAAGTATCAAGGCTTACTGACGTGTCGGCTGTTCGGATTCAAATCGCCAGAGCGGTGTATGCACTGATATGCTCCGTACTCATGTAGGAACAACACATCTTCAGGCGATCCGGAGACGCTAATGCCTTGGAATCCGAAAGTTTGAAAACTTGGGCAGGAGATTGGGCATTTCCTGCGCATAGGCAAGGCATTGAGTTCACTGTATCCAACAGTTCAGGCCGCGTTTGATCGAGTCCATTCTGACCGACCAATGACTGTGAAGGAAGAGGGATTCTTGCAAGGAGCCTACCTAATGAATGAGTCGATCAACCTTGAACAGCATACACAATGCCTTTGAATATGTTGTCAGAGATAAGGGAGTGAAGTGAAGCTTATCGGATCAATCTGGTTCTGCTCGTCATGTTGATCGATGAAAGTATCTCGTCTTCTATATACAGGCATATTGGGAAACATAGTGCCATTTCAAATACATGGCGTACATATCATCAGTCAATCGTTTCATGGGTCATCCAAAGCGTAAAAGAGAAAGAGTCGTGAACAGGGCCAATGTGTGCGATGCCCTGTTGTAAGTCCTCGTAAACAAACTTGATGGGGCGTCTCATATTGTCGACCTCAAATGGTTCAGTGCCTCAAAGGCTCAGATAAACATTCCCGCCACGCCAACAACCATACCAAAAACTAAGTCCTGCAAGCTGGAGGTTCGGCCGGATACGGCAATGTTCGGGCTACTTCCTCCCGTGGCATACGTTCCGCAGTACGCCAGGTTGAGCCCATGACACGCAGCTTGACTCAGACTCGAGCAAACAGACGCGGCGGCCGTTGGACCACCGCCCACAACCGTGACTCCTGCACCGCCTCCTGCGACTGTGACTCCGTAGCGGCCTCCAAGTGACGCGGTGCACTGCGAATACTCGCTTTGACAAACGGACCAGTATGACGAGCATATGCCTGCATTGGGGAATGTGGTGGGGACATAGATGAACGGATAAGCCCCGGTCAACGTAGAACCGGTTATTGTAGCGTCGTTGGTAGTCGTAGTCGGTGCCGCGGTTGCGGTTCCAGGGAATCTAAAGCTGGTGTCTGTGCCAGTGGACGTCCCCGTAAGACTTCCTGTGCACTTTGCCCCTGTAGGGCAGCAAGCGATATTATGGGCGGCGTCTCGAGAGCAGATCGAGTCGCTTCTGCAGCAAACGTCGGAGTGGCCTAGGTTGGTGCAAGGATTGTAACCCCCTGGGCAATTATTATCGGCGCGCTTCAGGATTTGTAAGACATCGTATGCTCTTTTGCTGATTTCTGCGAATTGTGGGGGAGAGAATGGCAATGTCTCTATAGATAGGACCGTCGAAGCGAGGAATGTGGCCGTGATCCACAATGAAGTCTTCATTCTGGCTGCCAGAGGCTGCGATCCGCCCACTGGACCCTATCACAGCCCAGCTGTTCCAATATTTGTCGGAAGCAACGATTATAACGGTGTTCCAAATATGGTTCTGGAGATTCGGTGCCAATTAGGGCGATGACTTTGGCGGCTAACAACAAATAACTACTAGATGTAGTAAACCAAACAATTAGTATTGTTTTGACGGATGATGGTAACTGCACAGGGAATCGACGACCGAAAACGAATGATCATAGGGACTTTGGCAAACTTACAATTTCTTCTTTCCAGAAACCTTATCTTCGAATCACTCGGATCGGTCAACGAAATGGAGAGCGAGGCGTGGATGATGTATGCCTCCATAGTCCATAGTGGGCTGCGCTTCCAGCACAGTCTCCACCAGCATCCCTGCCACAGCAACGGGGCGATGGGCCATCGTGTCCGACGGCCAACCGCAGAATCCCTGCGCACATGTACTTTTCATCCTGCTGGTTCTTTTGTTGGGTGAGTAACTTATTTTGGGCTCTCAGAGTCTTCCAGAAATACATTGTTTGGTTGAACTTCTTTTTGAGATGTCGTTGTTGGTTCTGATCGCACTCACCACCTAGATAATTGCTAGTGACCACTAGCTTTACTGACTTGGGATTGTCAAGTGTCATATCATCATAGCTTTGGAGTACAAGATGGTCACAGACTGAATGTTCTCCAGCCTATATCTACATAACCTATATCTTGTAGTATTCTCTTTTACAACCTATGTACCCTTCCTGCCACGTAGATATATTTCTATTAACCATCAAAGATCCTCCGTAAAACATAACACTTGTCCAGCAAGGCTGCAAAATAAACAGCCGAAGAGCATAATATAGATATAGGTGATGTATGTGTTTACTATATTTTGGACTTCTTACCCTATTATCATATTAGTCAATAAACTTGGATAAGTTAGGTATATAAAGGGATCTCTATTAGATAAACAGGCTGTGCTCCTTTTGGTACAGCACTTTCCTGAGCAGTTAAGTTCTACTACAATTAGTGGTATTAAATCTGTCCAGCATATTTACTTTATTTAGATCATAAAGGATACCCTATATATAAACCCCACACTGCTGAGCTTTATAATAAACGTAATAGCATGGTAGACAGTAAGAAGTTGTTAAAATAATGGGTCAATGGTGCGAGTAGTGTTTAAGGTCAAGTGTTGCGAACTACAAACAGCAGGGATCAATGGATCACTTAATCAACTATGGTGATGCTGGCCTTCAGGTGAAATTGCTTGGTTTCTGACTAGAGATATGGTCTTCGACCACTCGACCGTCCGTGTTGACTTCACTATGATATAATCTATTCACCAGTTACTATCCAACATCAATGATGTTACGATATGCTCTCTTTCTGGAGATTGGTTAGCCACTGCCCTGGGTGCGGGTGGAATATAATGAGCTGCCGTTGCAGAAGTAATGGTGCATGCAGGCCTGCTTTGCAGATAGCCTCTGAGCTGGATCATATTCGAGCAGAGCCTCCAGAAGCTCGCAGCCAGCACTGTCTAATCCTGGGACCAGTGGACCTGGGGAGCGCCTCCACTTTGGGAAAGTGGGCTTGTAGTCTGGAAACGCGGTAACACCAGGCCAGATCTCTTCATCTGGGGTGCCAAGGAGACTATAGAACCAAGTGTCAAACTCTATTGGGCCAACTCGACCTAGCAAAAAGCTACGCACCGGAAGATCTTAAAAATCTGATCAATTTCCGAGTCGCCAGGAAATAGCGGTTTGCGCGTACACATCTCCGCGAAGATAGCTCCAACAGACCACATGTCAACCGTGGTGGAGTACTGGCGTCCACCGAGCAGAATCTCCGGAGAGCGATACCAAAGGGTAACCACCTTAGACGAACAATATTCAGCTGGTAGGCTTAAATGACGTGTTTCATAGCCAGTATTTATTACCTCATGAGTATAAGTCCGCAACGGGACACCAAAGGCGCGCGCCAGTCCGAAATCGCCCAACTTCAGGTTTCCCTCCCGATCAATAAGTAAGTTCTGTGGCTTCAAGTCACGGTGCAGGATACGGTGGCTGTGGCAGTAGCGGACACCCTCGACCAGTTGTGCCATGAACTTCTTCACCATAGCTCCGTCTAGTCCCAGGTTGACGCTGATCATTGACCCGTCCGGCAGAGTTCTACCACGACCGCCCTCATGGACAGGTAGGGCATCCATGTATTTCTTTAGATCACAGTCTAGGAGCTCCATGACAAGATATAGCTTGCAGTCGGCAACATATACAATATTAAACAACTGGACCACGTTCGGGTGCTTCATTTCCTTAAGAAGGGAAATTTCCCGAATAGCGGTGCTGGGGACGCCCTCGTCCTCGGCCTCGAGTCGGATCTTTTTCAGAGCAACGACACGGTTTGGGTGGTTCACCTCTCGAGCCTTGTAGACGACACCGTACGTTCCTGGGGAGCATCGACGCGTGAGCTATAGTATACTAGGCAGCCACTTAAGATAACTGCATCATCACGTCACCTTCGCCAATTTTCTCGATCTTTTGGTAATTCTCCATTTTGGACGCGACTTTGGTTTCTGTTTCGTTCCTAACGGTATAAAGGACGACGGAAGGGGCGAGAACGAAGGAAGGGGAAATCAAAATACGAGGCTACTTGGTGCCAGACCCTGACGGGTAAACATGTGGGGGTTTGACTAGTTTGCATAGAAGGCGCCCTACGTACAATACCTCTCTCTAAATTTAATGTACTGTCTCGTCATTACTGGTAAGGCTACGCGGATTATAGCTGTTCCGGCACTTACCCAATTCAGCTCAGTCCTTGGGCTTCAGAAACAATGGCAAGAGGATAAACAATTTGGACCATTTTTGCAACCAGCTGTAAAGTGTACCTATTCGACACTGTTTTGTCTCGCCGTTGTCCTCTAGGCACTAACCTCTGGCTGTCCGGGGTATATATACCCTGACTACTCCATACAACACGAGATAATCTCAGCTTGTAATCCATCCATAAGATCACAAGCAGATTGAGTAGGCACAAAATCTGCATATCTTCATATCCTATCTTAATTAAACAAAATAAGTTCCTCAAGAGATATCATGCACCTGTACCTCTCAGAGCCCAAACCCTATGCCCTATGTAGCCGTATTTGGTAATTCCCCTACCGCCCGCCCATCAGGGAGCTCAGGCCAAGTATGATCATGGGGTACAACTGAGTACATTGGCATCGCTCAACCCCATCTAACTGCATCAGGGATGCGCGGATAGTTCGAACGAAACAAATGCTTGAGGAAACTTCACAGTCTCAGATCTCATAGTACTCACCGCCACCACACGGAACACGTTCCAAGTAATCGATCCGAAGGACGCGAAGCTTTCCCCTCATCAACTACCCCTCCACGTCCGATATCTGCCCTCGACATGTCTATCCCCAACGAAGCTCTCCAGAAGGTACGAGTTGCTACTGGTGTGTATCTCCACAATTTTGCCTCCTAACACCGGTTTTATAGTTGCTGCAAGAGATCGAAGCTCGAGCGATCAGCTCGCAGCAGCAGATCGGCGTCACCAAGGCACAGATCACGGCAAAGCAGAAGAATATCCGCCTCCTCGAATTGACATCGAAAGAAATCGGATCGCTATCCAAAGACACAAAGGTCTACGAGGGCGTCGGGAAAATGTGAGTACAAGTTCTGCGTGGCTATCAGCTGTCTTACGGAGTAAGGTTGCCGAGATAAGGCTGACTGTTCCTCTTTGGCTGTAGGTTCGTGGCGGTTCCGATGGGCACGGTTGACAAGCGGTTAGCGTCCGAGAGAACTGAGCTGAAGACAGACATTGAGGGTCTGGAAAAGAAATTGAATTATCTCGAGATGACGCACAAGAACAGTCGTGAAAATCTGGAGCAGATTCTGAAGTCCGGTGGACGAGCATGATTACTGAAGTCGAACACAAAATCACATGTGCACGGCAAGTCGGCGACAACAACTGCCTCAATCATATATTTGGGAAAGCTGGGATGGGTTGAAGACATCCCCGGGTATGGCGGAAAACACGGCGCTCTACATGATCTGCAAGGTGCTTCGATCTGTCAGGTCACCGGGCTGCAAGTGCGATGAGACGCCACAGATGCCCTGAACGAGCCTGCTCCGATCGCTCCTTGGCAGAGTGTACAACTACCCGTGAAGAATACCCAAGAGTATGAAGAATGTCCGGCGGGTCCGATCGGGTTGGGTTAGACAGAGGGAGGTCACTTCTCACCTGGATACCGATACAACTAGGGATAGTATGGCCCAGAACCGTATCTAATGATGACTGGTTCTAGTATCAAAAACCATGTATGAGGTGTTCTTCACATTGCCATACTTCTGCTCATTGCAGGGCATCAGCTGTGGCAAAGTGAATCCTGATCAATCAACTGCAAAGCCGATAAACTAGCCATCAATATCCCAAGGAGCTGTCAGGCAAAAAGGCGGCTCCGAGAGTGGAGCTTAATCATATCTACGCGTAGTCTCACATCTCTGGTACCTTAAAGGCAGACAGAAAAGGGAGATAGAACCCTCATCCGCCACAGGCCCACCTGAATCTACTCTGGTATATTGGGTAAATAATGTTAGTAAGCTCCACTGGAAATCCCTACTTTATTAGGTAAAGATGAGTTTCCAGCCTATATACACGCCCTATCTAATATATATACACGCACAATGATATCTTAAAATTTAGTATGACCACCACCTGCCTCAATAACTGCACGGCACCTTTCAGGCATAGATTTTAGTAGACCTTGCAGAAAATCAGGTGGAATAGCATCCCAGGCCTCTCTAAGAGCTATCCTAAGCTCAGATAGAGTCATATGTTCAGGGAAATTTGCCTGAAGATAGTTCTTCATCCAATTCCATACCATCTCAATAAGATTAAGATCAGGTGAGAAGGGGGCTATCTAACCATATAGACTCCATTCCTCTCAAGCTCCTGGATAGTAGATTAAGCACTATGGCCTGGAGCACCATCCTGTACTAGTTAAAGATGAGGATAGTGATGGATATACTCTATTATAAGAGGCACTATATATTGAATATAGCTTTGAGCATTAATTGTACCCCATTCCTTCTCCTAGAATACTATAGGGCCTTTAGTAGTTCCATAAAATAAGCCCCAAAACATCCATCCTATCTTACGTGGGCGCTGTTCAATAACACAGTCTTCATGGAAGACCTTATCTTTACGGTGAGTAACCCACGTACGTGTATGGCGACCTGGATTTACCCAGGTTTCATCAGTCCATAGGATAGCTTCCCATTGACTAGGAGACCAGTTAAGGTGCTCTTATGCCCAGAGGAGTCGTTTCTGCTTATTCTCAGGAGATAGTGGTGGTTTCCTTCAAGCAATATATCTTCAATAGCCTCTAGAAAGTAAGGCAGATCGGATTGCCCATTGAGAATAGCCTAGATCAAGATGTAAGGCTAATTCTCTATAAGTAAGGTATCTTGCGTACCTTGATGAGGTGATAAACCCTATAAGATAGTCTATCTCCTCATCTTTCATTGCTAACGGCCGACCAGACCTTTTAGAAGGAGTAGGGTGACCAGCCTGGCAGGCTAGCTGGACCTGACATATAGAAACCCCTAAGTGTTTTGCAATATCTTCATATTTCATATTTAGTGAGCGCAGAGTTAGGATTTGCAGGCGCTCATCTCTAGTTAGCTGGAAATGAGGAGGTGTAGAAGGAGTCATATTGCCATAGAGATATTTAGTAAAGGACTGATG